ATTTTATACGGTTCTGTTTTCGCTGTGCCTATTCTATTTGATATGACGTCGTTAAAGCTGTATAATAAATCGTCAAATTTTGTTTTCTGTTCAGGAGTGAGGGGAGAATCGCCTAAATCTTGTTTTTCGCAACGCGGAATCTCATCGTCGCCTACTAAACAAAGAGAGTGTTCGTTGTCAGCAAAGTTGAATTTTATTATTGACTTATTCAAATCTATGGACATCCTTGTGAAAGTCATGAAGTCATAACCCAAAATCATTTTGAACGGCAGTTGATTCACAACCCAAAATTCGTAGTTCCAGGAAAAATCGCCTAACTTCAAATGAATTGTAGCTTCGTATCTGACGGTGATTTTGTGCTGTGACGCAGTACCCATAGAATGACTTACCTTATTTACATTTGACACCAGTTGTTTATCTTTCAACATATTGAATAATTCTTTACTAATTAATGACCTACTACTACCAGAGTCGATCAAAGCAATGCATTTTAATGAGCTGTCGAACGTAACATGCGCAAATGGCAACTTACCACTTAAATCTACGGCTTCCATTTTGTTTTTGTTGGGGATGGTCGCGAGTTTTGTATGACACCGGGCCCCCTCGTCGATGTCATTTACCAGTTTAAAGAGCTCCTACAGTTTCTGGCTAAATGTCCTTCCTGATTGCAACGAAAACATTTTATGATTCTTTCGGCGGGTCTATTCCTAAGATCGTTGGAGTCGTTACGACGGGGAAAAGGTTGTCGGGGTCTCTGGGAAGGAATAATTTGGGGTGGGGGTGTGTGAAATTGTGGTGTGAAAATCGTCGGTCCAAAATATCGAGTTTCCGCCCTGACGGCACTTGTGACTCTTGTAGCTAGTCTACGAAGTTCTTGAATTGTGTGTGGCCTAGAATCGAACGAAAAATGAGACTTTGTTTCCGGCCTACATTTATTCAGCGCTATTTCTATGACGTCGTTTTCAGACAAGTTTGTTTTAAGAGCAAACGCAGTAGATAATAAATGTTCACAATAATCTGAGAAAGTTTCTTCGATGCGTTGTGGACGATCTAACTCTATTGACTCTATTTCTCTTCGTCGCATTGATGGGATAAATCTATCTAGAATTTCGACGTGCAAATTATTCCACCCTGATTGAGCACTTACGGACTCAATCCATAACTGAAACAACTGACCTTTGACCTTTGGTAAGAGCAACTTAATTATTTCATTGTCGTGGGACGGAGATACGTTAAAAATCGGCATTAAATCTTTAAGGAATGTAACCAACTCAAATTCATTCGATGCATCGACGTCCTTCAACTTCCTCAAAAGTTCCATTATTACAATAGAATCTGTTTTTGACAATCCCTGATGAACGAAGTTACCCTGCAATTGATTCGCCGGTACTGGAGCTACGAAACGAATTTGTTCGTGGTTCGCTGCACGAGGAGACGATGTGAAATTCGAAGACATTGCATTGTTTTCAACCCTTGGTTCAATCGCGCGAATTGACGATCGTCGATCTCGAAAGGTTCCATCATCAATCGTGACATACTCTGTTGCGGTCGAATCAAAAGTTAGATGCGAACGTGAGTGCACAGCTTGTTCCAACACGTCATTATCTAAATCCAACAAACAATCACTGTTCGACATGTTCAAATCGCCGACTACATTGTTCGCAATACGCTCTATTTCTTCTCCTACAAATGTGACGTGACCAGCGCGGAACGAATCGGTGGGGGGGGGAGAGACATGATTGCTACGAACGTTTCCTGTTTCTGCGTGTGACGCACCAACCCTACCGGACACAAGCCCTTCGTCTGACACATGACGCCTGCTTGCCATCCTCTGAGCCCTATCGCTTGCCGTAGTTACGTAATTGGGACCGTACAATTGACGTCTCATTTTTGAATTGCAAAGTTTTTTTTTTGAAATCAAATTCGCAAAAATGCAATCGACCTCAGTTTTATAAATTCACAAAATGTTTCAATTTTCCCTATAAATAAATATAAACAATCACGGACAAATATACACAGATAATAAATAACCAAGTAAACACTGCAATATGAACGGGTATAATCTGTCTTAAAGATAACAAGTGACAAGATAACAAGATTCTGAGGGTCAATATCAATCTTATCTATGCCAATCTGTCCGTAGAAGAGCCAATCTGCCTTGTTACCAGACCTCTCAATATTAGTGCTATCACTTTTTGTAAAGAAAAAAAATAAACGTTCTTTACTTACTTATTACTTCAAAATATACTCTTTACATTAATTGATCATTCCATCACTAAAATCGCCTCACACCTTTATGTAATGCAATTTGGCTATTCCATATAGGTGTGAGTACAACAAAAAGTTGCCCCCTGGTGGGGTTTCAATGAATTTAATTTAGTTGATCAGACAACTGAGGACCAATCACAGAGCCGGCAGTGGAAGTAAGATGTTGTATTGAGCCCTGATAATTGTGTATCCCAGAAGTCCGATTTATGGACCGTTGAGAGGTCTGATATGTCCTCCTGAAAGTGCTTTCAATAATCTTAAACGTAACACTTCTTAAGATGCAATAAAAAGTATATCAAATACTCTGAATGCAAAATTACACTCTTTGTTGAAACTTTGTTAAAACATTGGTTTTGACTCTGAAATATTGAAACGATTATGCAAAATATTGATGAACCAATATATAATAAATTATGTGTCAATTGACTACTTAATGATATTGTACTTTATTGCAATTGTCCGGTTAAGCCGATTACCTTGAAAAGATTAACACAGGAGAATTAATAAAATTGATGAAAGAATAAGCTTTGTGTATTATCACTATAAATAATACAAATATTACAAATAATCAATATTAATATTCAAGTTTCTGCTAAAATTAATAATATTCAAGTTTCAGCTATAATTTATAATATTCTAGTTTCTACTAATTACACTTCAATTTAATGTGAGAGAGTATTGATTGTGGTCTTTTGACTTTCTTTCCTGAAATATTGACAGCAGAGCCTCGGGAACCTAGGTTTAATTTATTCAATCTGTTTTAGGCTATTAGGCTTCCCAAAGTATGGTATTTACTTACAACTGGCCAGTTGATCTTATGTGCAAAGGGGCTATTCGTAGATCTGTGTACAGCACACTTTGTTGCTCAGTAGCAAACTGGACCAAAACGACTACTGAGTCGTTTGTTTAATTTAAGTTAAAAATATGATTTTTATGGCGTTAATGGAAGCCTACCTTGTAGCCTGTATTGACACCTAACCTTCAACCGGGACAATGCTCTAATTGAAACCTGAATTTGCACCCAATCAAATACTCTCAGTGATCTCTTTATGTATTTTTGAAGTGATTTCAAACCCAAATATTAAAGCAAGAACAAATTGTAACAGTTTTACGTGACAGACAGCTGATTACCCTAACAATATAATTTGAATTTAAGCGCAAAACTAATATGAAATTTAACTGGTATAAAAATTTACCCAAATTATTAATATAACAATATCTACAAATGTATCACAGTATGTATTTTAAAATAAGTAAATGGCAATAATTCTAAAGCAATGTGACTGAATTTACACACTAAGACATGAAACCTGCAAGAAACATGATTAAACAAATATGAATGTGGACAGATTGGCTTCTCCTAATGATATAAATACAATTTACACAAAACATTTACTTACATACACAGAAGACAATTTTGACGACACATAAACATATAATTACGACACTGTACTTGGGATAGGCTCTACGAAAATGGTCAAATCTGACGAATTTTGCCGGTCGACGTCGAACTTAAAGACTCGTTTTGTTTCAATTCGTAATTTAGTAAATGCTGTTTCACGGTTTTAGATATCAATGCACTCCGGAGATCGAACAATTGATTCGTTGACGAAATACACGTTACGACTACCAAAAGTGATTTTTGCAAATTGAAAAGGAGAATTTAAAGATTTCCGTACATCGCGGCTCAGAGCTTGGTCCCAAGTGACCGTTAGAAAAAGACGTCCGCACAAGTCAGCAAATTGGTGTTCCTCCTCGCTCACGTGATTGGCCGTTGTTGGTCCTTGCCTTCGCGCGTTTTCAGTTTGATTTGAATTTTCATTTGGTCATTCATTTTGAATCGGTACAGTTGCATCTAAGGACACTAGCTCTAGACCAGAACTGTTTTCACATTACTAGAGGATAGGTCTAGAGAGCTGTGGCATTATCACTTGAATAAAATCTATTGGTGTTTTGCGGGATTTGAACCATGGACTTCAATGATCAAAGTCCAGACCAAATCGCTCCTCACTAGTGATAACTTTCACTATTATGAACTATCAGGAACAAAGTGGAGACGTAGGAAATACTGTAGGATGAAGAGAAAAAATTATCAAAAAAATTCTAATGCTTCTGTGCTAAATGGGGGGGAGAGTTGTTTAGTGTGTACATTGAAGAGTGCCCTGTTAGAATAAAAGTGAAGAATATACATTAAGAAAACTAAGAAGATTGTTCAGAAAAGTGACTTTAAAAAAAGTGAAAAGTGTGGTGGTTTAAAGTGGTGTATAAGCAAAGCCACACTAAAAATACAGGCCGTAATGCTCGTCAAGTATGACGTCACGATAGAAGACGGCAATGACATAAGGTATTTATTTATTTATTTTCCAAAGAAAGATTAAAACAAGCAGCTGATCACAAATGGCAAACATTACGTCATTGCCGTCTTCTATCGTGACGTCATGCTTGACGAGCATTACGGCCTGTTTTTTTAGTGTGGCCTTGGTATAAGTCTCAAACTAACCAGGGGTTGGGGAGAAAATCATGAAATGTAAACTTTGACCAACCACTTCTTTTTCCTCCCGATCTCCAAATTTTCCTTGTAGCATGTGTAACTGTATGATTTAAGGCGATGTATTGTCCAAAGACCACACTGGTAAACATTGAAGCACTTTTGTTCTTTCTTAAGCATGATTTATTTACAGAATTAGTTTCTTATTTATTCGTCACATTTTAAACAGTTTTTCACATTTTAGGTTGCATCAATTGACAGAAACGTCTTTTCTTGGTCAAAGTCAGATGTTAAATCTAAACTCGTTTCCTTGAGCATGGCTGTTAAGAAAGGAGATCATTTAAATAAAGTAAAACTACTCTCATCGCCTATTTATGTACGACTCGGGATGGAAAAGAATTTGGCCAACACCACTGTGAAGGGAAGTGCTCTTCAGTTAGATCCACGGTTGGATCCTGACACTCTTGATATAAGAGTTACTGTACATAGAATAGACTGTCCACCTAAAGGGTTCATAACAATACGCTTCATCTACCCTCCAACAAGTGATTCTTTACGGGTAAGCAAGCGTGTCATGTTTTTAATGTTTAAATATCGTATTTGTTTGTACTTAGAGTTAGACACAATTGAATTGAAGATGTAAGACAATGCACATTAAGACCCTCATCAAATCCAAGGAAAGAAAGATTATGTTATTATGTGTTGTTGTAAATCCTATTTTATTTTTAGATTATCTTTACTTAATTTTGCCATTTTAATTTATTTATAAATAACATTCTTGTGTGTTGACTAGTTGGGGCAATGAATTTAAAATGTGTTTAGTTGAATAGTTTAGTAAACCAGTTAGTTTTCTCTGGATGAGTTCTCAACATGCTACACACCATAAAGCTTTCTATAGACTTTCATAAATTTAGGCCTACAAAATTCCTATGGCTATTAAGTTAGCCCACATTGAACTCAAAGTCATTTCTTTCTAATAAAGATAATTCCTAATTTGTGTTTTATTTCTGTGTAATAAGGTAAGTCTTTAATTGTCTTAATCTTATAATTATGAATTATTTTGAGAATAAATAGATTTGGTAAGTTACAATATATAATTTATTAATGAAATACAAATATAAGATAGCCTAAGTTATTGGTTGAATTAGCTACAGGGTAAGTTAACAATGGTAAATTTTCAAAATGGTGGGGGTTCCAAAGTGGATGATATTATTCTAGGCTTATATTGGGTTGGTTTCTTCTGAAGTACTAATTAATATTTAAATAGGCTATGAGCTCTTAATCTCAGGGAGGGGTGGTCGTGCCGGTTCGAATGATATATTAGGCTTCTTTAAAATGCAAATAATTTAATTTAGTTATTGTTCTGAAATAAGTTAAGCTAGGTTCATGATGCTATTAATATAATAATGTTAATGTCCAAAGAAAGATTCCAAATGGTTTCACTGAATTTAAAGAAATAAAATAGAATTTGAAGATTAAATTTTGAATAAAAGTTCAATTTGAAATATGTATATATCTTGATGAGTTGAGCTAATTGGGCCTAGTAGGCTATACTGATTAAATGTCCAATGAAGATTAAATTTGTCCTTAGTTAAATAAGATGGATGATGGTTACCAAATTTGGAGTGTCTGTCTTCTTATAAGGCCAAATAATGAATATTTTAATGATGAAACGTTTGATGTATATCACGATGATCCAATATATAATAAATTTAATAGCACAATAAATAACTTCAAAAATAGAAAAACAGATCCAATCGAAGATGAAACATTAACCCAAGAAGAAATAGATAATTCCCTAGCAACAAATACGCACATAACCGCAGAAGAACGTGAAACATTAAGCAGTTTATTAAATAAATATCAGCATATCTTTTCTGATCAGCCAGGAGTATGCAACAAGTATACACATGAGTTACATGTAGAAAACCCTAAGATTTTTAAAACTACTTCGTACCCTGTCCCGCAACAATATCAAGACCAAGTTCAAAAGGAAATTGATCGAATGGAAGCATTAAATGTGATAGAGAGAAGCAAAAGTACTTTTATTAATCCAATAATACCTGTCGTCAAAAAGACTGGCGAGATTAGATTGTGCCTCGATGCACGCAGGGCAAATGAAATAATAACTCCCGATTTTGAATGCAATCGAAGTGTAAACGAAATTTTGGGCAAGTGTAAAAGCGCTAAATTTATAAGTAGCATTGACTTAACAGCTTCATACTGGCAGATTCCCTTAACCGAAGAATCCCGGCAGTACACAGCATTTCAATTTAGAGGTCGAGTTTATCAGTACACCGTGACACCTTTTGGTATTTCTACGTCACAAGCTGCATTAGTCCGTGCATTGGATAAAGTGTTTGACTCAGAAGTTGAAGATTTCACCGCTATCTACATCGATGACATCTGCATTATTTCACCAGATTTCCCAACCCATATGAAACACCTTGAATATATATTCCAAAAACTTGAAGAAGCTAACATGACAGTTAAATTCAGCAAATCTAAATTCTGCCAGAACTCAGTACCATTTTTAGGATATACTCTAACCAATGAAGGGCTACAAATGGATCAGAGTAAAGTGGATCCTATATTAAACTTTCCAACCCCTAAGAATCGATCACAACTAAAAGCTTTCCTCGGTAGCATCAACTATTACAACAAATTCATTGACAAATTTTCTGCTACAACACAACCTTTAATGAGATTAACCTCTAAGAAAAATAAATTCATTTGGACAGAAGAAGATGATAAAACATTTTCAAAAATCAAACAACTTTTCCTACAAACCAACACTCTAATTCATCCAGACCCCAATAAAGAATTCTACCTCCAAACAGATGCATCTGACTACGCAATTGGTGGTCACCTATATCAGTTAAGAGAAAATGGCGATAAGGCTGCAATTATGTTCATGTCACGAACTCTACAACCGGCAGAACAAAGATACACCACCACTGAGAAAGAATTGCTTGCTATAATCTACTGTCTCCAAAAAGCTAGATATATCGTCCTTGGAATAAATCTAACAATAATCACCGATAACCATACCTTAACTTTCCTTAAGAGTTGTCGCTTACTAAATAATCGATTAGCTCGCTGGATATTAATTCTCCAAGAATATAACTTCAAAATCATACATTGCAAAGGCACTGACAACATAACTGCTGATACTCTTAGTCGAATTTCCATCGATAAACCAGCAATCTCATACAACAACCCCATTGAATTAACCATCCATTATATAGATAAAATACCAGATCAAAATCTAAAAGACGCTTTACGAGACCTTCCCCTACTCCAAAGAAGAGATCCTAAACTCCAACACATTATTAACACTTTAGAGATTCAACCAGAATCCGAAATCGGAACAAAACTATCAGCCAATTTTCGATTACATCAAGATACCCTCTACCAACGACTGAAGAATAAATGGCTCATCACATTACCAAGTTGTATGATTGAAAAACTTGTGTGGGGATGTCACCTATTCTACTTACATTGTGGAGCCAAGAAATGTTTTCAACTACTTCAAGAAACCTTTATTTTCCGAAACATGAACAGAATAATTAGGAAACTTATTTCTACATGCGATACATGTCAAAGGTGTAAGATTAGCAACCGTCCGCTGATGGCCACAGCAAAAGGTGTGCGTTGTACTGGCAAGAATGATCAAGTTGCCGTAGACATTATTGGACCTCTACCAACCAGTGTATCAAATGTAAAATATATCCTAATTGTCATAGATATTTTCACAAAATTTATAAAGCTGTACCCCATTCAACGAGCGACAACAAAGATAATTTTAAATAAACTTTTCACTTTGCATTTTCCTACATATGGATACCCAAAAAGGATACAATCAGACAATGGAACTCAATTCAAAAGTGAAGAATGGATCAGACGAATGGAAGAACATAATATTGAGCTAATTTTCAGCCCTGTTTATCACCCATGCTACAATCTCGCTGAAAGACCAATAAGGGAAATCAAAAGGTGTTTGCGAACCTATTGTTCTCGCCAACATACAAAATGGGCAAAATTCATACCAGAAATAAATGCTTGCTTAAACGAGCTCTATCACGAATCAACAGGATATACACCTAATGAACTTCAGTTAGGAATCAAAGACCAACGGTTTTGGGATAACTACTTAACTGAAAACACATTCAATAGTGATACTCCCATTGAACAAAAGTTACTCCTAGCAAAACGAAGACTTGAAGAAAAACGCCTGAAACGATCGTCCAAACCAAATGAAAATCGAAAACCTCAAACCCTCAAGATCAATGATAAAGTATTAATCCGATCTCACCACCTCTCAAGAGCTATATATGGCGAGACAGCAAAATTATTCGAAATATACGAAGGACCTTTTATTATAAAGAAAATCTTAGGAAAATCCACATTCCACGTGACCAAAGAAGATGAAGATGTTTTATACGGCCCCTACCATATATCAGCCCTTAAGAAATATTTAGAACCAACCCGAGCAATAGAAGCTGTAATCGACGAGATAGATAATGATGACTCTACCTTCGAAGACATTGTATATCAATAAATTTCATAATGTGTTTCATCCATCAATAGACTTTTGTGCATCATCATCTCTAACCAAATTGTGCCATGGACCTTAATCGCGAGTGCGTGACCCCATAAATTGTGTTTTCCATAAACTGATACCCAGGTGATAAAGTTTATAGACAATACTCAGCATGTTGAGAGCTCATCCAGAGAAAACTAACTGTTTTACTAAACTATTCAACTAAACACATTTTAAATTCATTGCCCCAACTAGTCAACACACGCCCAACGTGGGGCGCCAAATTTGCTACACACCATAAAGCTTTCTATAGACTTTCATAAATTTAGGCCTACAAAATTCCTATGGCTATTAAGTTAGCCCACATTGAACTCAAAGTCATTTCTTTCTAATAAAGATAATTCCTAATTTGTGTTTTATTTCTGTGTAATAAGGTAAGTCTTTGTCTTAATCTTATAATTATGAATTATTTTGAGAATAAATAGATTTGGTAAGTTACAATATATAATTTATTAATGAAATACAAATATAAGATAGCCTAAGTTATTGGTTGAATTAGCTACAGGGTAAGTTAACAATGGTAAATTTTCAAAATGGTGGGGGTTCCAAAGTGGATGATATTATTCTAGGCTTATATTGGGTTGGTTTCTTCTGAAGTACTAATTAATATTTAAATAGGCTATGAGCTCTTAATCTCAGGGAGGGGTGGTCGTGCCGGTTCGAATGATATATTAGGCTTCTTTAAAATGCAAATAATTTAATTTAGTTATTGTTCTGAAATAAGTTAAGCTAGGTTCATGATGCTATTAATATAATAATGTTAATGTCCAAAGAAAGATTCCAAATGGTTTCACTGAATTTAAAGAAATAAAATAGAATTTGAAGATTAAATTTTGAATAAAAGTTCAATTTGAAATATGTATATATCTTGATGAGTTGAGCTAATTGGGCCTAGTAGGCTATACTGATTAAATGTCCAATGAAGATTAAATTTGTCCTTAGTTAAATAAGATGGATGATGGTTACCAAATTTAGTGTCTGTCTTCTTATAAATTTGTACTCTTCAATGCACTTGTCCAATACTTTTGGATGATAAGAAATTTAAAATATAGGTTTTACTTTGGGATTATGAATTTTAGTTTAAATCAAACACAATTTCCAATAGAATGTTCACACTGTGAAGAGTTGGCAGGATCTGGGGAGAGGCAATGGTAGAAGCTCAGGAAGTCCATGTCCATTGTTGAAATGATGTACAGCTGGTTAATTTACATGAATGACACTTGCCACAGTAATTTTGATTTTCTTTGGATAATTTTGAAAAATAATACTATATTTAAGATGTGATTACTATATTGCAATTTTCTTACAATTATATATTATTCTAAATAAATGATTATTGTTGGTTTTTGATGAGTACAGGATAGGTATGGTGAAAATTGGCATAAATATTATATTGTAACATAAAATAGGATGATGTTTCTGTGGGGTGATGGGATACTATATAACATTGAACAAAATTGGATAAAATAACACATTAACAAGGGGAACAAATTAAATAACTGATAACACATTATCAGGGGCATTAACAGACATTATGGGAGAAAATACACAAATAATACAGAAATTAATGTTAATGATGAATGAATGACATGTAATATTACAAACAACAAAAGTAGCCAACTCTTTTAGTAAAGAAGAAAATGTTCATTCTATGGTTATACCTCCATACATGGTTACGTCTGCATAGATCTGAACAAATTATTAATTTTACAGTTTGGTCTACTTAAGCTTAGACAGATTTTGGGAAGTTTATAGTGTATTTTAATATAGGCACCTGGATAAGGTAAATATTATTGCTCACCATCTAAGATCTAATGTATTATTTAATTTCAGGTACTTGTGTTAGAAAACTACAGACCAGACTACGAGTTAATGACCCAGTCCAAAGATGTAGTGATCATAAACTCCTCCTATACAGTGTACCCGATAAACCATCGGTCAATAGACGTACCAATGTTTTTGTACATGGGTGTACTGCCTGTTGAGAGTGTAAGTATGATGAATATGAAAATAAAATGAATAAGTCAGTTAGTACGGTAAAGTACAAAAACAATGAAAATGTTTGAATCAAGATTATTTGTTTCCTTTATTCAAAGGATCAAAATGTAAGGCAGTTGATTAACTATAAGCTATACAGAGACGTCTAATGTGAACAAAAAAGAAATGTAAAAGCTGATCTAATTTGTGGGTTGTTACAAAAAAACTACATAACTGAACTCTCCATGTAAGTACTAAAATATTTTGTAACATAGTGATTATTTTGAAAATTTATTAAAATATTTTTGGAAATTTGGCAATACATTACCTAACTACTTTTAAAACACTTGTCCAAAAGTATATTTTTAAAGCAGTAAAATTTCTAAATTTAAATATGATAAAAAATACTGTGATGTCTAATTCATAACACAATATAATGGTGGTATTGTGTTTTGAATACACAACACTATAGATATTGACTAAATTTAGACCGTGTGATTCCAAATGTACAATTAACAAGTCTATTGATTAAGAGACAACTGGAACTACATTGAGATTTGTGTCAAAAGGCATAGTGTTGAAGAGATTGTATAAAAAAAGAATTAAGTTTATCTTTTGTATTCACTTAACAAGTCTATTGTACAATTAACAAGTCTATTGATTAAGAGACAACTGGAACTGCATTGAGATTTGTGTCAAAAGGCATAGTGTTGAAGAGATTGTATAAAAAAAGAATTAAGTTTATCTTTTGTATTCACTTTCAATGTAGATCAGTTGTCTCTTTAGTTGAATTTTTACTGTATTTTGAATTATTAATAGTGTAAGATAACATTAATGAGTAATCACATGGACTTGATTGCATGCTTTACTCAACCTAGCCGCATTTCTGAGCTATGTGATGTTTTTCAGGCCTCAGTCAATCACACTGTGAATTATGAGTTTTTGGTGACAACAAATCTTTGTCAACTGTGGATTGAGGGCCAATGGAGTTCAATAGGCTGTGTGGTGAGTGTTGTTTAATATGATCAACTATACACACAGTTAACTCACAATACTTGTCTGCCCCCCTAATGAAGAACTCAGCGGTTGCCGGGGGCTTTGACCTAGGAGACGTTCATGATTCCTTTGCAATCACACAAAATGTCCACAGTTTTTACAATCACTAATTTTTATTTATTTTCTAACCATAATTTTTGCAAGTTTCATTATTTTTTTCACATTTTGTTGGTGATCTTGCTTTGTTTTCTTGTAGGTAAGCACAGACACCACATCGGAGGAGACGGTTTGTGCGTGTAACCACTTGTCGATATTTGCTGCGGCATTCCCCGTCCCTCCTCAGAGTATAGATCCTCTTGGAGACGCCAGGCTTTTCCTTACAGTCCTGGAAAACCCTCTGGTGGTAGCGTTTGTAATCGTTATATTCATACTTTATCTGCTTCTGGTGCTCTGGGGCCGGCACAAGGACAATGTTGATCAGTATAAGGTTGGTAGCGTAAAATCTGTAGATTTGATTAGAGTGTAGCAATAGATGAATAATTGATTCTAAGTAATTTAAACAAGGAAAATAAGTTTTTATACAAAAAGTTGTCGGAGATCATTCAAGTTGTAACAACACGTTCAATATAACATCATAATTTGGTTATTTTGACTCAGCATAGTGGGAAAGTGAATATCCATTGCTTGCGAGAAAAAGTTCAATGTAGGGTGCAGTGTTGGGGAAGCTACTTTTAAAATGTAGCTAGCTACAACTACTGCTACATTTCCAAAAAAGTAGCTTAGCTACAGCTACAGCTACAGTTCCCAAAAAGTAGCTAGCTACAACTACAGCTACAATGAAATGTAGCTACAGCTACAATTTTAGCTACTTTTCCAAAAGACGTTACTTTTTATTCCACGCACATTAGGTAAATGTAAAATTAATTGCAACTACATTTTTATTGAACAAACATTTAAAAAAATGTCAGTATTGTATCTAACATTACTTGGAAAACAAATTATTCCTAGATTGTATTTAATTTGTTGGCATTATAAACCTAACATTACAACAACAGAACCAAATAGTTGGGTGTCCCATCATATTTAGTACTTATTTTTAAATATTGCATTATTTTTAAACATCTTAAAATGTAAATTTCATTAAGTTCAAAGGACATACAACCAAACTATATTTTAAAAGCTCATTTTATTAATCTAATATAGATTCATTTATAGATGTTTTATATCAACAATTAAGACCAATAAAACTGTAAAAAGATTATTTAAAAATACTTTTTTGTGTTACAGAGCCTAGCCTACTGAAATTGGAGTTTATTGCCTTCCTTTACTTTTAATGTTAAAAACGACATTGCTATAACTTTGAAAGTGATAAATTACTTGTTCTACGAATAACACTTTTCAATGTCAAGAAATCGTCCTTTATTGTCATTATGCATAGGGCAAATTGTGCTTCAACCTAGTTGGTAGAGAAAACAGTATTCAGTAACTTATCCTGAAATCGGCTTTTAATTTAAACGTGTTTAATTTTGTAAAGTAAAAATAACATGTAGGCCTACTTGGCTATGTAACAAGTTGGCTATAGTAGGCTTGTTCTTGCAAGGACTAAACAGATATATTCATAATACCTAATTGAACTTGGAACTTGTGTTCGTCTTATAGCCTCAGTCCTATACAAGTACAAGAGTTGTTAGCAGGAGCAAACTATGCTATTTTTTCAATGTATGTTTCATGTTATATGGAGGGAGATTTTTTCATTACAATTATCATGTAGTCTAGGCATATCTTAAATCTCATCAGGTAATTTCCTCTTTGTTAATTTAGTAAACCTTTGAAAAATCCTCGTAATCTAATCTAACCAAGGAAGGACTTGAGATGATAAACCACAATCAACAGCTGAAGCAAAGGTTGATAGACCAGCTTTCTAATTATTTCAAGGTGTGTTGGTTTCCATTAAACCCCCCAAGTTGAAACATTATCGATATAATAAAGAAACTAAATTGATTACTAATTCCCCTGTCCTGTCAATCACTTGCAAGCATTCAATAGCTTCTCTTGTCACCGGTACCCGGTACCGTTTAAACGTCGTCTGCATCTAGCAATTTTATTTTATCTGACAGTTAGGGATGTTGCGATACCACTGTCTTTCCGATATTTGGTATCGATACCGTATCGCAAAAAAGTATCGATACCGGCTCAGTATCGGAACTAAAGTATCGATACCATTAGTATCGTATCCATTCGATACCAGTGACGTCATATTCTGATTCACTGATCTTCGATTAAAGTTTACTCGTTCCAGTACAGTGCAGCCAATATAGGATTCGAATTCAAGCTGCTAAAAACTACCTAAATAGCCTATGTAAAACATTGATAAAATTAACCAAACATAGCCAACCATTGTTTTCAATTTTACCTTCAAGTATAAAGTGGCCTAAGCTTACCTTAAGTTCTAGGCCTTTATAAATTATCTTTTCAATAGACAATGTTATTAAATTGCCAACGTAACACATTCGTGTTTACCATCAGCCTAAAAAAAGTTTTTTAGTTAAATAACTTTAAGCGTGGTGCCATCTTTTTAGTTTATTTGATGTTAAATAGTCCATGGTTTCATTTTATTTGCCTAACACAACGTTGCTAACATTGACTTGTAACAAAAATAACTCTGCAACTAAACCCTTAAGTTGTATCATTGACTACGTCTGTAGGTATATATAGTCAATGGTTTTACTTATAGTTATGTAAAGTTCTATGGAAAGTGAATCATAATTTACTCCAATCACATATCAGACAAGCTAAAAAAAAATATTTAATTGGGTTAAAGTTTTGTTTTTTTGTCACTGTTGCTCCAGCCTTGGAAAATAACCGCTCAGAAGGCACGAGCGTGGCCATTTTACTCAGATTTGTCAGAAATTACCTTCCGATACTTACGATACGATACTGGCCTCTTGGTATCGATACCAAGTAAATATCGGAACAACCGATACCGATACGATACCAGCAGTATCGCAATAAAAGTATCGATACCTACTGGTATCGATAGTATCGCAACATCCCTACTGACAGTAATCATAGAGTAGTAAATTAAGGAAATGAGAGCCAAAAATGTGGATAACACTCATTTAATGGCCTCTATGTCCACACAACGTTGTGTTGTAATAGGGAATGAAACGGCTGCAACCAGCTGTTTGAAGCCAATAAAGTAGGCCTATTTTGTTTTTATCTCAGTTTAAAAGAGGTTGTTTCACGTAAGGTTGAGGTTATGATAAAAATCACTATCTCAAACAAGTTAATGTAGCGAGAAAAGTAGCTAAAATTCCGCTACAACTACTTTAAAAATGTAGCTAGCTACAGCTAAAGCTACAAAATCTTAAAAGTAGCGTAGCTACAGCTAACGCTACAAAAAAAGTAGCGCGCTAACTGTAGCGTCGCTACTTGTAGCGCGCTACTTCCCAACACTGGTAGGGTGAATACTAATTTGAGGTTTATGAACTAACCTGTAATTAGGTGTTGTGTTTTTAGTCTTAATTTACGATTTCATGATTTATTACAAAATTTAACTCAATAGAGAACACAATGTGTTGAATCACCCACAGAATACTCCAAAGTAAATTACATCGCTTTAATGCTAGAGTTTGCGAGTGTACTGCAGTTTATTTTATTATTATATTTGTCACTACTTTTTCAAGGGGAAAGTTGTTGTGCTGGATGATAACTTCCCAGAAGACACGTACCCGTACTTGGTGGCAGTTCACACCAGTACAAGGTTCAATGCTGGCACCACGGCACATGTTGGCATCAAACTTGCGGGAAAGGAAGGAAATAGCAGAGTAAGTCAGTAAAAATATCATGTTGAATTGTCCTCCCAAACTTGTGTTTGTTTCTTAATCATTTAAAAAAAATTTTGTTTTAAAATGGGGCAAACCTGACTAGCTTCTGCCTTTTTCTACCCCATTTTACAACTAATTGTAATATTTCAGCTATTTCTCATTCAATCTTTTTCAACTTGGTATTGTTTGATAGATAATTAAAAATGCTAAATAAAAGTGTTCTTGACATTTCTTTCATAAAACCAGCCATTTTCAAGTAATTTAAGTTTAAAAACTTTAAATGGCCGCCATTTTGAAACTTTAGGTTGAATCGAGATGAAATTTTTTAACATGGGTCTCTTCTACCTTAACATACATACCAAGTTTCATAAAGATCGGTTGAAAATATTAAAAGATAAAAATGTTTATGTAAAAAATACAAAATGGCGTATGTCTGGTTAGCGAAGCGATTTTGGAAAAAATTCTATTTGTGATTTTATCTTTATTTTGACCCAAGAGTCAAAAAGACTAGGTAAAATATGTCCCCACCTTTTTTGAACACACTGTATACCTATATGTATATATTAATGAGCATTTTAATTTGCATTCACAACCTATGTTGAGGAATGCACAGTTAGACAAGCAAGCATCCCTTTGCACACCTTTCTTGTAAATGTTAAAAAAAGTTTCCAAGATAATTCTCAACTTTAAGATTAATGGCAAAAAAATCTTTTTGGTCTTATCATCTATTAAATATGCCTAATGCATGCAACCAACCTAAATTTGATTTACTATGTTTCTTATAGTTTTCTGTTTGTTTAATCTGTTTGTGTTCTGCATTGCAGGCTCATATTCTGTCGAGTGAGAGGCGGAGAGTATTGACAAGAAATTCTGATGATTGGTTCATGTTGTATACACCAAAGTCCTTAGGCAGTATTTATGGTATACATATATGGCACGACAACTATGGATCAAGTCCAGAATGGTAACTAACTTATAATTATAGAGCAACATGGCTTTTGGAAAGGAAAATCCATAGTAACAGCTGGTATAGAATGTATAGACTCAATTTGAAATGCAATTGATAAAGAGGAAAAGGTCGTAGGAATATTCTTAGATCACAGTAGATCCTTTGGCAGTGTGTCACACAATAAACTAATTATAGTTTTAAATGAACTTGGAGTTTGTGGTAAAGAACTCAAATGGTTTGAATCCTATATTCAAAGTAGGCACCAGTTTGTTAATGTAGACAACATTATAGAAAATAACAATATAAATTATATTTATGAAATTCAATTTCAGCATCAGATGCTGCGATATGGTGTCTCCCAGTGATCGATCCTGGCCCTCTACTATTTCTTTGTTATATTAGAGGCTTGCCTGGGACTATTCCTGGGAGTGACGGATCCATGTGTCTGTACGCTGATGATTCTAATATACTACTTAGTACTTACTGGAAATTCTAATTCTAAAATTGAAACCTCTCCAAAAAATCTTCTGATAACTTATGATTTTTTTAAAGAAAAAATCTTCTTAATACAAATAAATCAAATTTGATACCTTTTTCAACCAACAAATTTGTTCTTTCTTTTTTTTTAATTTTTTTTTTAATAGGATAGAGCAAGTTGAACAAACTAAATTTATTGGATGAATTGTCGGAATAGTCATGTTAAACATGTTGTTAAAAAATTGACTTCTGGTATATACACTTTGATGCAGATGTCTCAGATCTGCAGCATAGATACCTTGGGGACAATATATTTTTCATTATTGCATAGTCACACATCTTATGGAATATCTATTTATGGAGCAACAACAAAGACCTATTTTTATTCTATTCTTATCAAATAACAAAGAAAAAGGCTATTCGTTTAGTGTTGAAACTGCAAAAAAGAGATTCGGCTAAGAGATATTTTACAGAATTGCAGATCCTAACAGTATATAATCTGTATATTTATGAAACATCCGTCTTCAATTTGTATCCACTTCAAGCAATTCTGGTGACTAAAACACTAGATTCAAAATTAACTTACCCCGACATAAACTGGAATTATTTAAAAATAAAACTAGCTATTCAGGATTAACATTTTTACAGCGCTTAACGGCTTTGATAAAGAGGGAAGAAAATTTAAATAAATTTAAAAGAATGCTGAAAGATTTTTTTATCCAATTTCCATTTTATTCCTTTGAAGACTAAAAAAAAACAAAAATATAAATTAGTTTCTGTTGGTCTTCATGATTTTAATTTGAATTCCATAAAAACATTATGGAAACATTTTAAACTTTTACCATGTTTTTTTAAAAGAATACTTTTTACTTTTAAATTTATTTTAGCTCAGAAACTAAATGTACCTATATACGTACGGTATTTTGTATATTTGTATAGATGTATTTATAGCGTATAAGTTATTTAACTCTATTCAATACATGTTCTTTGTGTATGATGAATAAAGAATGATTTGATTTGATTTAAACTAAACATTACACAACAGGACATTTTTTTGAGTACCACTACGATGTATAAGCGGTCAAAATTTACAATTAAGCCCCACTTAATACCTCTATACTACTTAAAACTCAGTAATAGTTATGTTTTTACTATTTACTTGTAAGATTATTGTTTGCAATAATAATAGAAAATTCCCAAACTTTATTATTTTTGCCACTTCCTCATGCATCTCCGTATCCAATTTTATAGAATTCTGTACACTTTACTAATCCATAATCTCTGTACAATATTTTAGTTTCTGTAATTTGGTGCAATGGTTTTACATGATAAAAAACAGACACCACTTTTTTGCAATAGATGCTGTTTGACTCTCAGTTTCATTTGATCAAATGTTCACAGGTTTTGCGATAAAATTGTCGTATATGATTTGACTCGACACACAGAGTCAGTTTTCATGGTGGAACAGTGGCTGGCGCTACGCGAAGGAGACTACCCAGAAGCCAATCTTGTGATTGCAACCGGCCAAGAAATGCTCAACATAAAGCGAATGTTTTTGGACAACGCCATTCTTGGATTCCGAGACACACATGTATATCTCAGTGTGTTTGTCAGGTACTTATTTAAATATCATTTGGTTGGAAAACTAGTATGAATAATTTTTCAAGGTTAGCGACCTCATGGAATTTGCCCATCTACACAGATCTCAGGTCTGTCTGTGAAACGTTTCAAGTAAAGCAAGAAGTGAGCTGGTACAATACAAGAGTGAACCTTGCTGATATATTTTAAGTTGTGGCACTGGAATGTGAACCCACGACATCACTACTTTGATTTATTAGTCCGTTGTGCTACTAAGTGAGCTACGGATTCAACATTTGTGAAACTGACTTAAGACTTAGGTCTTAAAAAAGGTGAATTTTCGACTAAATCCTTTGTTTTTTATCATAAGAGAATTCGGAATTTGAACTAGGGATTATTTACCTCTGCTGGTGTTCTTCTTGTATTTTATATTTAGGAAACACTCAAATTAATTAGGTAGATGATTAATATCAAACATACACTCAGCCCTCACTGATATTCCACTAAAAACTACACCAAGTAAGGAAAAGTTGAAAAGAAGTACTGGCATCTAATAAAAGAAAGAATTATAAGTGCATTGATCTTACAGCCACTGATGGCATGAGTTGCCTGAGCAAAACTTACTGTTAAAGTAAAAAAAAACATTTTTGAAAACCAAACCCAAGTTTTCTATTAAAATGTAATTAAAACTAATAGTAATACATAGTGAACAAAGTGTATGTAGATAGATAAGCAAGTAAGATAGTAAGATTAGTGGTCTCAGCATAGCCACTGAGGATGCCACTTCGTAGTAAGGGCGAAACGTCTGGCAGTTAAATACAACTAACAAAGCGGTTGACGCCGAAAACCATCACCGTGGATTTCAAAGATAGTAAGATGTTTGGGTCATTCAATTGAAGTATATCAAGGAATTAAAGGGAAATATTTTTTAACTGGATGATTGATATGTAATGATTCTTTGGATGATTTTCAAAATGTGTAAATGTGTTTTACAGACACCCCCGCAGTGAATTCACCCGAGTGCAGAGGATCAGTGTGTTGATGTGTTTACTAATGGTGGCTATGTTGTGCTCCATCATGTTCTACACACCGAATGACAATGGTAAGGATTGGCGGGATAAAAAATTAACACTTCATGAAAGTCATGATTCACTTCTTGTTTAAAGAACAAAATGTAAATTCAAGCTAAACTTGTTTACAAGAGTTCTTTTTTTGGGGATTTAGAGGATTAGCTTCAGCTATAATGTTTTTACAAATAAGTGACAATCTAATTTATAAACCCTTAGTGTTTATAAATTAGAAATTAGTGTATTAGAAGAGTGAAATTTGAGGTATAAAAACTATAGCCAAAAAAGCGTGACTCAATGATTATATTAATCTTTCATGGGTGTTTTAGATTTTAAATCACAATCTGGGACACAATTTGTTTTTCTGGGTATTGAGACATTGGACAAACAATGTAATTTTGTACACATTACAAAATGAAGTTTTAGGACATATTATTACATTATGTCCTATAAAGATGTATAAAAACCATGTATATAAACAAAAGTGTATGGTACATTAAATCAATAAAAACGTTACTTGACATTATTTATAAATATATACAGCCAAAACACCATAGGTGACACAGAACTACACTCCGGGAACCTCGTAGCGTGTGTGGTGGCACAAGGGAGCGGATTCCGTGGTACGTGACTCTCAGGCCTCAACTGGTTAGTAGGAGTAATACGGTGACGGGGGAGAGCGAAAGATATCCAATCGGCTCCTAGAAAGAGGTCTGTGAGCAGGGGCGGACTGGGTACTCTATTAGGGCGTAAACCTTGACCAGCCCGAAGGCGCCAACCGGGGGGTCTGGGGGGTATGGAATACCCCCCTCTTTTTTTAAAAATTATACCTGTAATCTCGCATTTTTAGGCAATCTAGAGGCATTAATAGTGGAAAATCAGAAATCTGATAACTGACACTATTGGTTAATGTTTGGTGTACAAAATTTAGACTATTTCCCCTCACGACTTGGTGCTATTCTGACAGTAAATATCCTAACAAAAATAAAAATACAAATGATTTTCTTAGGTTCTTTCGTATTATATTTGTGTATTTTCTTTGTTTTCCCTTGCATGGCTTGGCTGCATGCATACAATATTATATACAATTTACAATATTATGTATACAATTTGCTTCCTGTTTACAGCATGAACTTGCAACTGTTGCATTTTTTGGCACTGTAAATAACAGAAGTTATATATTTTTTATTTCTATGAAATTATTTTAACACAAACAATATGCTTTCACTGTGAACAAAACCAATTTATTGACTTAAACTTTTTAGCATTACATTAAGTCAAAACTGTAACCCTAAAGTAGGCCTACCTAACCTATTTCTACAAACGAAATAGCCTAGAGAAAACTGGTATTTACTCAGGGGAGGTACAGAAGAGGCTACGATGACAGCTGTGGACTTCTTATTAGCTGAAGGAACGCCATTACCGAAACAATAAAATGGTCAGTGGCCATCGGCCTCGGTGGTCAAGTGGTCAGCGTGCCGGGCTGATATGCTGAAGGTCCCGGGTTCGAATCCCGCTGGTGGCAATAACTTTTTGTCCAAGATATTTTCATTATCAGCAAGTTTGGTTGGTTATGACAGTTTAATTTTATTATAAGTCATTATAAAATTTTAATTTAGCAATTTCTAGTTTTATTTAATAAACAGAATTATTTTTATTTCATTACTAAACATTTGTTATATTATTTAATTATCAGCAAGTTTGGTTAGTTCGGTTAGGTTATGATAGTTTAATTTTATATTTTAAAAATTATAAAATTGAATTTGTGGCATTTATAATTTTATTTTATGAACAGAACGATTTTTGCGATTAGTATTAGTAAACCTTCATTGCCAAAGTGCTCTCAACTACAGCGCTGTTCACGGAGGAATTTTGAACTAATGCCTCATTCGTACCTCCCCTAAGTCAGACCCGAGAAAACTAAGAAGGTATTTTAGGCTGGCTATCTGTAAGTAAAATAGGAAAGTTGACAGAATTAGTGCCATAGTGCATATTGAAATAGTTAATTAATAGGCTGTAGCCACATATTAAAATACTGTTTACTGTTTAACCTTTACTGTGTAATGGTTAAGTTAACAAATAAATACACTGTCACTAAATCTATTTAAATTTTGTAAAAGTGGTGATTCTACAATACTGCTTTCGTTCATGTTTCCTGTGTAGGTAAAGAATATAAAAATAAATTGAAGCTTTCGACACAGAGACACAAATCAAACACTCACTAAAGAGAGTCACATTTTAATTGGCACTGGCAACTCACACTCTTTATTTATTTATTACATGCACGGCAAACGCCATTTTACAAGAGAGTTGAGTTGATATTGATAAAATTAAATGTGACTTAAAGTGAAATAGTTATAGTGTGAGCAATAATTAAATATTATAACAAATATGAATAATATTAAATTATCTTCACTAGTTGTTTATCACAGACAACATCGTGACACCGACCGATGTCGGATGTAGTCGCAGTCACGAATACTAGAAAAATACCGGTATGGATCACAAACATAAACAAATGACGTTGTTGGCCCGAATCCTATACTGAGCATTGAACATATCATTTGGCAGTTCCATCATAGATAAAACATACTCCCTTCTATGGTTCCATCATAGATAAAACATAGTTGGTTAGTCTATGGTTCCATTTAAGCAATGTTAAATAATGTTTATTTTCGGGCCAAAAACGTAATTTGTTTATGTTTATGATCCATACCGGCATTTTTCTAGTACTCGTGGTCGCAGTGCAGTTTTTTTTCGGGATCGGCGTAAAATGACGCGGGAAGAGGACAGCTGTTTTTAAGTAGCTCAGACCACAGAGTAAAGTAAGTGCCTTCCACTCGGAGTAGGCCTACACGTACGAGAGAGAAGAGCTGCTTTGCTCTCGCTTGTCGACAGTGTCTATTCAGGTCTCACACCCGACTTTATGTTTTGCTATTCACTGCTGAAACTTTTACTCTAAGGTTTTCCTCTTGCTTTCTAAAAAATACATCTCGTCTCATTTTTTTAAAACTTTTATAAATTTTTCCTTTAACGAGGGCGCAAATATTGGAATGTTGAGAAGGCGCATCGGCCCTCCGGCCGGTGGGCCGGCGGGCCAGTCCGCCCCTGTCTGTGAGGAACAGTTACTCTTGAATCTGCCAACTGGCGATAACGTCGATAATTCATATCTTTCTGTAAAAATAAATATGCTTTGAGGAAAAATTCCGTTATGACACCTATGAATTAATAGGATTTTCAGATATGAAGCTTAAGGGAAAATAAAATGTATAAATTTAATTTTATAAATCAACATGTCTATACTCAAAAGTGTTTTGATTTAAACAACTGAATTATTGGTTAGTGAATCAACAAAAACACTTCAATTTTTGACAATGTGCACATAGCACCAAGGCATAAGACCTTTCAAATTTTTGAGGTGTTATTTGTTCCATTACTAAAAGATTGACTAAATGATATTAATAGTATTTAAATATTATTTTTTCAGTCAGCCCTACTGATGATTATCAATATGATGTTGGAATGAGAGAGATTATAATCAGTGTAGAAAGCCTCGTCATTACTGCAACTCTAACCCTCGGAATGTTGTTTGCATTCAAGTAAGCAAATATATGTTACTTTATAATCTTGTAACACACCATACTAGATGGGTGGGGAGCGAGCTGGTCTAATGGTTAGAGCGCGGGATTCCGGTTCCTGGGGTCCCGAGTTCAAATCCCGCCAAATCACCAATGGATTTTATCTAAGTGATAATGCCGTAACCCCTAGGTCTAGCCTGAAGTAATGTGAAAAACAATTCCGGGCTCGTGCCTAGCGTCCTAGGACAAAAAAAATTGTCCTTTTGTTCATTTGTGTCTTTTTGTTTATTTTGTTAATAATGTAATAGCCTATGTAGATTGTAAACTTGAAGCTCAAGTAAATGATAAGTACAGTACCTGCCAATAGTAGATTTTAAACCTGGCCAGCTTGTTTTAACTTATCTAATTAAATAATCTTTGTTATTTTTTGTGAAATATTTAATTACCTTATAATATTATGCAGCAATTTATTATGTAGCAAATGACAAGCCCCATTACACTGTATAATGTTAAAAGATCAAGATTCTTATTCTTACTCCTACAACACATTGCGTGATTGCAGGAGGAGTTATAAAACATTCCATGAACGTCTGCATACCACTAGGCAGTACAGGAGAGATGAGATCGCAGAGGCAATATCTCAGATATCTGATGACTCGAGAGTCAGAAGTCCCGTGACAAAAGACGCTCACAGTCAACTCTCCACCGCTCAGGGTAAAATAATAGTGCAAACAAAATAAACTTTGTTGTTGAATAATATGTCACTGAAGTAAATTGTAGACAAATTAAAATCAGACCAACTCATTTCAGAACAAAAGATGGCTTATTGTGAAATTTGAAATGAATTGCAGTTTATGAAGACTGATAATGCTAGAAACTTATAAAATTTGAACAAATCAGTTGGCTTATAAATTTATTGGCTAGGAGCAAAACGATGAAGGCATTTACATATACATCTTATCTTACTAATATTATAAATGTGAAAGTTTGTGTGTTTGTTTGTTTGTTTGTTTGTGTGTTTGAAGTTCAATCACGCATAAACCACTGGACGGATTGGGCTGAAATTTGGCATGATGATAGCTTACATTCCCGATTAACATATAGGCATATTCTTATCTCAAAAATCCTTTCGGGCTCCGCCCCAGTGGCTCTGTAATTCCCCATGTTAACCTTATGAGTATTCATATTTAAAGGGAATTAAAGAATTTAGTCAGCTGTTTCAACTAAAAAAGTTGGTTCTATGATATGGAAAAGCGTTAAAAAGTTATAAGATTTACCAACAGGGTGCAGCACTATATTTTTTGCATTTATGAAAACAGCTAATTTGAACTAAGAAGCAACAAAAAACTGTGATTCGCAATGAGAACTGTCAAAGTAGGATTGTTTACAGTTATGTTTATGTTTTTCATTTCATGAATAATTTGTGATATTTTGCGAATTGTTGATAATTTATTTTTCTCTATTGTTTAGGTGAAGTGGTAGAAAATTATGGCTATGGTAGATGTGTATATACTATAGAATACTGTAAATTTAAAAAAAGCAAATTTTAACAAACTGTGTCCTCCCTTATTGCAAACGCAAAGCTTGAGTATAACTGCAATAAGCATTTTATACTTATATTCCAACCCCGTACGAAGGACGGGTACTCTGCTAGTATATATATATACGTTACTGCATAGAGAAGTAAGATACAAAGGAAACTCGCTTATGGGACTAACATGTTCCATTCAGCTCTAGTCTCTCGTGCCGGAAATATACTTGTGTCAAGCAAGGAAGAGCCCAAGTGGCGAGCACTGTGCTGAATTATCTATAGCACAGGGCTCAAAGTCATTCCTCCACCAAGAGTGTTGTAGAAGATGATGGCGAGGGGGGTGGTGTTGGACTTTGCCCTAGACACCAGCGATTAGTGCTAGACACCATGTGTACCAATGAGTGTTTCCTCTTTACACACCTTACTTCTCTGTGGTTACTGTATGGTGTAACCAGAAGTTTATTTGATAGTTGGAAAAATCCAGTTAAAACAGTTTGTAATCGGTTTGGTTTAAAAAAGAAATGACGTTATTTATGATTTTTATGAATATATTATAACATATCTATATTATAATAATAAAAATATATTATAATCCTTCCAAATGAGTATTTGAAGGAAAAGAAAAAAAAAACTTTTGGTTTGCTAAAGATTACTTTTGCTTTTGGGTGAGTGGGTGAGTCTTTTTAAAATCATACTCACCTTGTTATATGTCACTGAATACTTTAGAAAATCTTAATTCAATTCAAATCAACCATAGTACTATTTCTCAATTAAAGTTTTTCTTGTTATCTACACAATGGAATAAAAAGAGAGCTTATTGCTTAACCTTTTCTATTTGTTTTTCATCAGTACTGCTTGGATATAAAATAACATAATTTTCACAGATAAATCGTTTTACCAGAACTACGTCCGATATGTATCTAAGTTCCTCAGAGGACCTCCCTTGGCCCCGGTATATCTGTGGGAAGGAGAGAGGAGGATACAAAAAAGGAAGATTTGGTACACATTAGCCTGGTAAATATTGTTATTTTTGCATGCTAACTAATGGTGTCTATGAGTTGTCTTCTAGTAGTGGGGGTGGTAAATAAGCTGTCGTCCAATAGTAATTGAGCAGGTTGCAATTACAACCTATTGTTGTTCAGTAGTAGACTTACAAACTGGTTGCTAAGACAACCTATGTTGTCTAGCACAGTAGACTCCATCTTATCCGGACAACTTTTAACCGAACATCGGTTTAACCGGACTGCACTCGGCAGAAATGACATATCTTTAACCGGACAATTTTTATCAGAACATTGGTTTAACCGGACTAGATCGCCAGGAAGTGGGCAGTACTGAAACGACTGTTCTCGTGGGAAAGATTTGAGACCAGTGATCACGTGTCTAAATACAATGCTCTCCTAAAATTAAGTCAAATATCAAAGTAAACAGTCCGTTTTAACCCGTTATCTGGACTGGCCTCGGTCCCGAGGAGTCCGCATAAGAGGGAGTCTACTGTAGTAGAAAGGGTGGCTGCCACAACAGTGACAACCTGTAGCATAGTCACATTGCTCACACTCACAGTCAGGTGATTTAGTCGAGAATGTCCTTATCATATATCGGTGTGACCAAGTAGGCCTAGTCAATGTTTGTATATCAAACTATAATGTCATGATACTGAAAGTCATCTATGTAAGGTAAAGAATGCTTTGTTGCATAGAATATAATTTTTAGTAAGTTCTATTATTTATTCAATGTGGAAAAAGATGTGTAAGTAAATAAAAATTAGGAAGTTAGACGTAAATACAGTTTTAATAAACACTATTTAGGAAATATTTTAGGAGACACCTATCTATCAGTGAATATTTTAATTTGACAACACTTTCGATCACTAATGCAAAATTTAGAGGGGGTAAGGGGCAAAACTGGACTAGGCCCTCAGGAACATATGCCTTTACAACGTGGTTTAGTGTGACATAAGTCTCTACCTAGAAAATAGATATGAATAATAATATATATTTAATGCGAGGAGAGTTATTTTCTTAGAACCACTTTTTTCTGCAATTGTAAGAATACTTTTTTAATGTTAAGTGTACGATTTGTTTTCCAAGGGTGTCTTGCATTACAATCATGGTCTTTGCCGCATACCTGGTCATGCTGTATGGACTCAAGCTGGGGCTGATCCAGAGCCAGAAGTGGCTGACGGCCGTGGTCATGTCCATAGGAATGGACATCTTCATCATGGGCCCGGGCAGGATCATAACCATGGCCATACTTTTGTCTATGGCTTTTCAGGTTGGTTTTGGAAACTAAACAGTTGTTCCTAAAATAATTTGAGACACTAATAGTTAATAAGGATTTAAAAGCATTATATTCTACAAGAAATTTTCTGTTAAATACTTTGTCAATGATTATGGACAATATAAAGCATATTTTATCTACTCTACTATGATCCATTAGTTAGTATTTCCTACCTCTGCATGGAATTGATCACATTGCCATAATACACCAACCACAGCCATGGATCCAGTATGTTAACAACCGATAAGCAAATAACATAACCTAAATAACATTTTATCTAAAAAGTTAATATGTGTGTTATTTAAATTTAATTATGGTGGTAGGAAAATCCTTGTGTATATTACGAGCACAAACGGTGATTGCCGATCTCGAAATGTATGATCGCACTCAGCTAAAGCATTGGGTGACCATCAACAATTTTCAAGCGGCAATGACATACTTTGCACTCTTAATACACAAATTGCTATTTCCGCCTAGTAATGATCACGCCACATCTGTAAGCAGTGCACAAAATAGCTCATTCCTACTTTATTCATTCTCGATTGCTAAATCAGCTGATTTCACTGTTGGCGTTTTATAATCCTAATCAGATTTTTCAAACAGTACATTGATTTTTTTGTACAACCAAAAGTTACAGTATGTACAAGTCATAGTACATTGATTAGTTGCAGTAAGTAAAGTAATGTAGTAAAATGATAAAGGGTCAATAATCAACCATGTTTTTTTACCTTCAGACTTCTACTAAAGTGGACCTTCATGGGATAGCATTGGAAGATGCCATACTTGCTCGTCCGAAAAATGAAGTGGATTATTTAAACATCCTTCTGGCGAAAAGAAGTCATCCAATGTACGCACCACTTACTGTGTCTGCCAGAGGGGTAATTGAACACATATTCTTCAAATTATTATACTGTATAAACAGAATTGAATCCAACTTCGCCGCTCAAGGCATACGAACATCTCTCCCGTTGAGCTCCAACAGACTTACTTTAAGTGTGAATTAAGATAGGTACTTATATTTCTGATAAAAATAAACTCAATCTTTGATATGTGTTTCCTTTGTTTGTCCTAACGATTTTCTCTTTTCTTTGTCAACTATATTAAGACTAGATGGGTCTATCTTTAGTTTTTTATAAAACTGTGTTTACAGTCTTTGCTGAAGAGGAAGAAGATAAGACGCAAGTGGTGGAACCTGATTGACTTTGTGAATGCTGTGATCTACGTCACCATAGTGAGCACAGTGATATATCGACTGTGGATATCTCACTATCATGGAGTGAACCACCTACACAAGGTGTTCTCACACGTTCACAGAAGGGAGTTTGACATCTCAAATATTAACGAAATAAAAAATGTGTCTATGTGAGTATGCCATGCCTCAATACATAGTGCATTTCATAATTTAGGTTTTAGATTCTGGGCTAGCTTTTCAATGTCACTAATTGGAGCTTGAGTGGCTTAAGATTAAAAAACACTTATGAAAAAATACTTTCTAAAAATTGAAAACTAGAGATGGACTCTCGATACTGATGCTTGTTTAGGAAATTATTTTAATCTTCTTTAGAGTTAATATAAAATTATTACCGTATCTGACAATTTTACTTGTAGCTCACTTTGGGTTTGTTAGTACCCTGATTTTTACTCTTTTTGGCGGATTGCAGTATTGATGCAAAATGTTAATTATGAAATCAAAATGTGTTATTGAATGAAAAAAAAATGTTTTCAGGGTTGAAAACTACATGGAGTTTACTTTTGTTGAAGTTCTGTTTGACTTGTGGTGGTACAACAAACAGTTATTGTCAAGTGGAAGTGAGTAATATATTGTGTACATATGTTTATTATTACTGAAAACATTCTACGGAGTACTTATTGTTAGTAGTGATTGCTAATTCTTTGTTTCTTTAGCAAAAAAGTACTGGATAGTGTAACCCAAACGCTAAGAGCTATTTCCTGAATATTGCAACAATGATCAATCATCTAAATGGAGATGGCCAGCAAGATCATGGACCCAATGGAATATATGTTGTTACTAACGAAGGACAACATATAGAACATGGTTTAGAAGTAATTGTAAGCATTGTTTTAGTAAACTTGTAATAATTTATTTTTGGGTTTCATTTTTTTTGCACCACCCTGTATATTTCTGTCTTGATGACTTGATAACATAACCAAAAAATGTTCAATAATTATATTTATTCATGTTGAAGCCTTCCGGAATTGGTAATCAATTATAACAGGTTACGTACCTTGACGTCCACAATTCCTTAGTCGGTATTCGTTGACTATAGTTTCGACTACTGCGTAGTCATTATCAAAACGGAACGTTAAAATATTACATTCGTTGAATGTCGTCAGATCTTAAATACATTGAACACACAAACAAACATAACACGAACACGGTAGACATTTAACATAATTTGCCGGCCGGCACACGTCACTGAACTTCAGTGACGTGTGCCGGCCGGCAAATTATGTTAAATGTCTACCGTGTTCGTGTTATGTTTGTTTGTGTGTTCAATGTATTTAAGATCTGACGACATTCAACGAATGTAATATTTTAACGTTCCGTTTTGATAATGACTACGCAGTAGTCGAAACTATAGTCAACGAATACCGACTAAGGAATTGTGGACGTCAAGGTACGTAACCTGTTATAATAATTATATACCTTACCTTACCTATGTGGCCACTCAAACCTCAATAGGTTTTTGGCCTCACCTACAACAAGTCGCCACTTTTCTCTGTCTTCCATCCATTCTGTCTCTGCCCTTAGCTTTCTTAGAACCTGGTTCTGCCTTCTTAGTCGAACTTGTCTTCCCCCAGGGAGATTTTCTGTCACAATTCTTAGCGTAGAATCTTCTTTTCTTCTCTTCACATGACCAGTCCATCTCAGTATCCTACTTTTTATTTGTGCTATTATGTCTGGGTCTTTATGGATTTCCCTTAATTCTTTGGTTTTTCTGTTCATCTACACCCCATTTTTGTTGATGGGACCGTAGATAGTTCTTAGTATTTTATTTTCAAAAAAAGTTATTTTCTTTTCATTGTTCATCTTCAATGTCCAGGTTTCAGATCCGTAGAGTGCTATTGGCTGTATTATAGTTTTATAGAGTTTTGATTTGGTTCTTTTTGACAAAAGTCTACTTTTTAGCAGTGATTCAAGGGCCCAAAAGCATTTATTCCCCAGTAATAATCTGGTGTTTATCTCTTCTTCTTTATTTTCTTGTTCTATGGTAGCTTGTCCTAAGTAGGCTACTTAAACTCTGCAGTCCTTTTAAATTTATAGTCTCCAACTTGTAAGGAGTGTTCCACATCAAAATCTTGTAAGTGTCGGCCAACTATTGGGTATTTTGTCTTTTCTTTGCTGATTTCAAATCTGATTCAATAATTAATAATTATATAGAAGATAAATATTAGTATCTTAGTGTTAAATTTAAATAATGGGTAGTATGATCTGACCATGTAGTAGTCAGACAACTTTAACTTCGTCTGCTGTCGTCTGTAGCAGCCGGTTCGGTGGTGAGATCCGGAGAAAATTAATTGCGTCAAGAGTATTTGTAACCGATTTTTACGATCAAATTTTACTCAATGAGATACACAGTAAGTTACTGAATGTGTGTACCTAGGGAACAATGTAATCAGCGTTTTACAAGCCCGACAATCTGACCTTGAAAACAACGAAGAGACCAGTACTGAGAATGACCTCGCCCTGGCCGCTGAAATAGGGACATCGCTACTGAATGAAAATATAGAGTTGAAAAAAGAAAATGGAATCCTACAACAAAAAATAATGAGCTTACTCGCCTTGAATGAGGAAAATGACCACCAAATAAACAGTTTACATACCCACAAGGCAACCTTGACTGAATCATATAACTCTCTCCTAAAACAGCTAGCTAAGGAAAGGCAACAATACAATGAGCTACAGCATCGCTTCGAGGAACATGACACTGATCAAGAGATACTGATAACAGACCTCAAAACACAAATACGACGGCTAAAAGACACCAGGCTAGCGAAATCTACTCCAGAAAAGCAGCTTAAAAGCTATCATAATGACAAGTCGCTGATTTCTATACACTCAGTCGACGATAAGCCAACAACAAACCTTAGTGACGACATGAATACAGATACAACTATCTTATTGAGCAAAATCAGGTCACTTGAATGCAGGGTGTCCACCCTGGAAGTTTCTTGCACGTCTGGCACAGCAATAAACGTTCCAAACAAGGCAACAAAAAAATTATCTAAAGAATCAGCTCTACCAATTGTAACAACCAGTCCTGAAAAACATGTCACACTCCCGAACGTAAAGCCCAAGCCTTTAAACCCACCAATGTTTGCAGTGATACGGAACAATGACGAAAGTGTGGATGACTTTTTCCATAGGTATCTAAAGCTTGCTGATAGTTTCAAGAAAAACAATACAGACTATGAAAACCCTCTCGACCCCAAATCGACAACAACTGTAATCTCAAATGAAATCAAAGAAGACTCCGCTCCAAAAGACTACGTTGAGAAGCATTTTTTAGCCTATGCCCCAAACCCGGAAGACAGGGTGAGATTCAAGCAAAAAGGAAGATTAATAATCAACTCGTCTCTCAAAAAGTAACTATCTTTCACCAGAACGTAGACCGCATAGCAAACAAGATCGAACGCTTAAACCACCTACTAGATATTCACAAACCAGACATAGTTGTAGTCACAGAACACGGGCTCAGTCGCGACTGCATTGGGAACGTTAGTCTTGCCAACTATAATCTGCTCACATCATACTGCCGAACAAATCATAAAAAGGGTGGTGTTGCTATATACTGCCATAATTTACTTGGAAATCATACAGTAAGTGCCGATATAGATCATTTCAGCAGAGAGCTAATCTGCGAACTAACAGGAATAAAAGTTGACCTCAAGGCAGGTGGGAGCATTTTTATTCTGGGTACTTATCGACCCCCCGACGCACCACTTGAGGATGCACTAATGTCGCTAGCCAGCACCCTCGACGCACTTCCTTCTGCAAACAGCGGAATCTGCATTGTTGGAGACTTCAACGTAGACTCCTTGGTAGAGTCAAGAGAGAGATCGGCGCTTAATGAGATGTTGACGTCATTCAACATCCACAGACTGCGTATTCCCGCAACTAGAATAACTAGCACATCAGCTACCTCAATTGACTATGTTTGCTCTAGCCTTGATCCAGATCTAATAAGTGCTGAAGTGGTTCACGCACATCTGTCTGACCACACTGGGCAACTTATTAATATACTTTTCCCTCTAGGGAAACATGCGGAAACCATCTGTACCCGGCGACATTACAATCAGAACAACATGCTGGACTTCAGAGAAAATTTGTCCATCCAAACTTGGGACGAAGTTTTGCAGGAAGAGTATGCAGATGCATCCTACACCAAATTCATCTGTCTATTGACTTCCATTCTCGACCTTTCTTGTCCATACAAGACATCCAGAAGAAAGCCTTCTAAACCAAAAGCTGTCCTTTACGACGATGAAGTAAATGAATATAAAAGGGCCTTCACCGAAGCAAGGGAAAAGTTCATATTGACTGGTAGACTAGATGATAAAGTTGACTCCGCTCAGAAGAAAAAAATATATGACCTCAAGCTTAGGACCCTTAGAAAAAAAGAAAATGAGAAGCTCATCTCCAAATCGTCAAACAAAAATAAAGCAATTTGGTCAATAATCAACTCAGAAATAAATTCATCAAATAGATCCAAGGATACTATATGGTCTCTGAAAACAGCCAACGACACAGTAAACAGCATTTATATAATAGCAGAACTTTTCAACACACACTTTGCCACTATTGCTGATGAAACTCTGCGTAACAAAAATCTGACTAAAACATTAACAGCCAGCAATATTCCCACCACCTTAAAAGAACCACTTCAGACATTTGCTCCAACAACCTTGGAAGAAATTAGCAAAATTATTCGAGCAACCAAAGTGTCTTCTTCAGCAGGAGTGGATGACATCTCATCAAGAATCATGAAATTCTGCGAGAAGGAACTTCTCACTCCCTTAGCTGCCCTGATCAACAAATCACTAGCTCAAGGTGTGTTTCCATCAAAGATGAAAATCTCTAAAGTCTACCCACTCTACAAAAAAGGAAATAAGGATGAAATCAAGAACTATAGGCCGATTTCACTCGTCTCTACATTCTCTAAAGTCTTGGAGAGAGTTGTGTTGAATAGACTTCGGGATCATCTTCATCAAAATGACATCAAGCTCAGCGAGCAGCATGGATTCATCCCAGGTCGCTCAACAGTGACTGCTCTCGGGGAAATTATTGAGCACATCATTGACAACTTGGATGCTGGGAACACAACCATTAGCACCTACCTTGACCTAAGCAAAGCATTCGACTGCCTTGACCACAGCTTGATACTGAGCAAGCTGGAACTTCTCGGCATTGCAGGAACAGCAATCAACTGGTTTTCAAGTTACTTAAGCGGCCGAGCACAGATCGTGGAGCTGAGACAAACCATCGATGGAACAACAACAGCAGTTCAATCCAAACCGCTAAAAATAAATAGAGGTGTTCCACAAGGCTCGGTCTTGGGACCGGTGCTTTTCGCCTTGTTTATGGCTGATTTCCCAAGCCATGTTAATACGTTCTGTAAAGCGGTAATGTTTGCTGACGACACCGTCCTGTTGACCTGCAAGAAGACAGCAGAAGAATTAGAAGTGGATAGTTTCATCGCCCTAAACCTGGCTCAGGACTACTGTGATAACAATGATTTGGTCTTCAACGAAGATAAAACTACCCAGCTCATCATAGGAAGACTACAAAACCAAGTCTCTGGCCCTCCTAACATCCAAACGTGCACTTTTACCAAGCATTTGGGAGTCGTTTTAGACCAAAAACTTACTTGGAATCAACACGTTGACGCACTCTGCCTAAAACTAAGCTCTGCGAAATTTGCTTTAAGGAGGGTTCGATCCGTCAGTACCTCCGAAACTATACGAACATGCTACCATGCTTTGTTTGAATCCCACCTCAGGTACGGGATCATCTTTTGGGGTGGATCATCACAAGAAAACCTGGATCGAGTTTTGGTGCTCCAGAAAGAAGCAATGCGAATAATGGTCGGTCTTCAACCAAGAGAAAGCTGCAGAGAAACCTTCCGTAGCTTACGCATACTCACCGCAGTCTCGATCTACATCTTGGAGGCAATTTCCTACACAATTAAGGTCTCTTCGTCGAAGCATGTTGCCTTCCACAGTTATGATACGAGGCACAACGAGGACTTCCATCTGCCCTCCCACAGAACATCACTCTTCTCGAAGAAGCCTTCGTATGCTGGAGCGAGGTTCTTCAACCTTCTTCCCCAGATTGTCAAAGAGGGCTCACCTACAACGTTGAGAAGGCGAATTCGGAATTGGCTTGCTGACTACCCAATCTACAGCCTTGAGGAGTTTACGGCCCGTGCAAGACCCCATCTACGGTTACACTAAAAATCTTTTCATGTAAAAAAAAAAAAAAAATGTATTGACACCATTCTGTGCTTGATGCTCATGAATAAAGTACTCTGTATTCTGTATTCTGTATTCTGTATTAACACCTACAGGCTACATACTTTTAAATTTTACTATATGAAAAGGATTAGTTCGATATTTTTGTCAAGTTTCAGATGTATTTATGCTGAAACAGGTTTTTTATTCATAAATCTTTTGTACAGATGGAACTGAACCAGAAGGTATCCGACGTTACTGGATAGAAGATGGACTTCACAAGGCAATAAGCAAACCACTCATTCGGCAAGTTAGGGTTGTACCTTGTAAGTCATCATATCATACTAATCATACTATATTATAAACGTGAAAGTTTTTTGTGTTTGTTTGTTTGAAGTTCAATAACGCATTAACTAGTCGGATTGGGCTAAAATTTAGCATGGCGATAGCTCACATTCCCAATTAACATATAGGCATATTCTTACCTCAAAAATCCTTTCAGGCTCCGCCCCAGGGGCTCTAGAGTTTCCCATGTTAACCTTATTAACATTTTAAAATAATTAAATAATTTTGTCAGCTGATTTGCCAACAGGGTGCAGCACTATTATTCGTTTGCCATTATCATAGCAGCTAATTTGAAGTAAGCAGCATTAAAAAGCTGTGATACACACTGAGAACTGTCAAAGTAGGATTGTCTACAGTTATGTTTATGTGTTTAATTTAATATATAATTTATGATATTGTTCGAATACTTTTTTCCATTGTTTTTAGTTACAGTGGTAGGACATTATGGCTATGGTAGATGTGTCATACTCTAGCATACCGTAAATATAAAGAACTTCATCTTGTGTATTGCCTTCCGGATTACTTCATGAATTCTATACAAGAGGTTAAGTTACCTTGATTCTGTCCAAGTAATCCTTTAGCCGTCATTATTGCGACCGGTTTCGATGTCTATGGCATTATTGTCAAGCTGAACGTAAAATCGCTCCTAGGAGGGTGTAGGTCTAGACTCATAGTCTAGCTTATAAGTCTAGATCTACCTACACCCTGTACCCGCCGCCGAGTTGTAAATTAGTTGTGTGGCCATGCATTTTATCGTTTTTTGTTTGTGTACGTGTTATGTGTTACGTGTTTTTCAAGACTCATGACGACCTCCTAGGAGCGATTTTACGTTCAGCTTGACAATGATGCCATAGACATCGAAACCGGTCGCACTAATGACGACTTAAGGATTACTTGGACAGAATCAAGGTAACTTAACCTCTTGTATAGAATATAAAGAACCAAATTTTCTCAAACCTTATCCACCCCCATTGCAAACACAAAGCACGAGTATAACTGCAATAAGCATTTCATACTCATGCCAACCTTGTATGAAGAACGGGTATTCTGCTAGTGTTGTTATATTTATTCACCTTAAACATATGGTATTTTCATTTTCATGTCCATCTTGAAGGAATAGTATATTACGTTACTAGTCCTGAAAATAAGTGTTTGCCGGACGAGTGTGGTCGTTCCCGTGCGAGACGAAGTCGAGTACGGGATTACCATACGAGTCCGGTAAACACATTTTGGACGAGTGACGTACGATAGTTTACGCCATACTACTAAATCTGTACAAATCCTTATATATTTCCACCAACTAAAGGACTGAAAATCACTAGTCATAACCTCTAAGAGAGGTTATGTTTTTGTTTATAACCAATCATTGCCACCTAAATACAGTATAATCAGCTGATTGGTGTCCGGTGAAACTCATTGAAGAACAGTATTACGCAATGAAACCCCATTTGAATAAGCTGGCGGCAAACAGCTGTTTTCTGGACTAAATCCTTGCGTGGGAAGTTCGTCAAAATAGTGTAGTGTGGCGTAAAGTTAATTTTGCTATCAATAAAAAAAAACATAAAATGTTGAAATCTAAACTACAAAAATTATAACTGGTCACTTAGGGTAATAATTCTAAAAGTCAGAAATTAAAAATGCATAGTAGTCGTTGTGAAACAATAAGCTGTCAATGGTCTGGTGTATGATCAGTTAAGCACCCTTGAGTGCTGATTCGTTGGTGATTTATAGACAGTTAAGTACCGGTATAAGTTACATGGCAAGTCAGGCGAAACCACAGCACAATTATAAGATAAGTGTAAGTGGCTGGTCTGGGATCAGTAATGTCTTGCTTATAAGTCCAAGACATGCTACCAATGAGCTACCATGGCTTTGTATTAAATCTCTATCTTGATACGATTTTGTATTAAGTGATACCAAGATTTAAGCAATCAGAACTGTTTGAGTGAAATCCTGACACTAAACAAAGTGACAGATACTAATGAAAAAATACATACTGTGTCTGTTTGTCCCTCTTAAAAAAATATAAACTGTAAATTTGACACCCAGGGTTATGTTAATTCTTTCACCAACACGTTAATCAACACTAACCCCTAACTTGAATACTGTATTTCCCTATGTCCTAAAATAATTGCTGACAGATCAACAACTCTAACACATGGAGTTAGAAATGCTCAACAATCATGAATACCAAATTAGTGGGTTGTGCAGAAAAAGATCCATTATATATTTGATGACTTTACAGATGCATGCAGAAATGTGTATTTCTCCACAAATAAAACCAAGAACTGTCTGCTGAAATGGAGTTTGCGAAACAAAGACAAAAATGTCTATGGAGAAAAATGGGTCCCTGCTACATACTTGGATACAACCAAAGTTGACTCACCTTGGGAGTACAGAGAGAGATCAACTATCTTCTGGTGGACAAACGAACGGTTTTATGGTAATTTTTTACAACATATACATTGGTTATTTTGTATAGGCATTGTTTATTTGTTTAACAACTGTTCCGATTTTGATTTGTTACCCACGGATATGGACAATTTTACAGCATGGGTGAGAATCAAAGCAAACTGTAATAATCAATGATGTACACAAGCTCTCTGGATACACTGTTTTATGATTTTGTTTCAACGTAAATGCCAATAAAAAAAATATATACAGGGTGGCGCAGATGGATCGGGTGGTTTTAAAATACTTGTTAAACTGTCAATTTTAAAGGTATTGGATTGAAATAAAGTTCAAAACGTGTAGTTACAATGGAAGTTTATTTACAAAAAATTATTTAAGTTGGTTTTTAAAAATTACATGCATCAAATGCCTTCCTTCTCGAGCGACGCGTTCTTGGAGTCGGTCCTTGAGGTTCCGCATTGCTCGCTCAAGCACATCACCAGGAATTGATGTGATTTCGTTGTGAATTGCAGCCTTCAGCTCCTGAATGGTCCGGGGTGGGACCGCGTCTCGTTGTCCCTCCGTCTCGTTGTCCCTCCGACTACTTGTACCTCGAGGCCTAGGGACAACTAGTCGTAGGTACAACTAGACGGAGGGACAAGTAGACGGTGGCTCACCCGACTAGTTGTACCTGCAGATTTTTAGGAGGTACAACTAGACGTAGGTACAAGTAGACGTAGGTACAACTAGACGTGTATCCCACCGACAAGTAGTATCACCTAGCTTGTACGGATGCGACCAGTTGTCCCTACGACTAGTAGTCCCTACGACTAGTAGTCTCTACGACTAGTGGTCCCTCCGTCTAGTAGTCCCTACGTCTAGTTGTACCTACGCGTATTTTGCGTCCTTATAGTCTAGTTGTATCTATCCTCCAATTCGTTACCCTGTTTAATTGATTACTGCACGAGTACTTTTTAATAATACCCTTAATTAAATCAGGAACTGCAGTGTTCCGAGTCGATTGAGTATGATTGGCAAATATTTTTCACCGCAGTACGTTGTTTTAGTAGTTTTACAGACGTTAATTGGAGGCTGAAAGCTACGCATTGCTGTCCAGGGTCGAAATGGCAGCTATAGTTGTGATTAAAATTTCCCAGCCCTAGTACAGAAAATCGCTTATTTAATTAAAACATTTATATATATCATTAAATATACAAGCAGTATATCCCTAATGAATTGCAATAGACCGCTGCCCAGCAATTATGTATTACTATTTTTGCTGATTCCTTTAAATATTTTTTCACATAACCTTAAAGTATTTGCATTGATTAGTGTGCATATCTTATAGTTTACAATGGATTTCCCAGTGATCAATGAACAATGAAGTGTACAATGAAGTTGAGGTCCAGCGGTTGAAAACTCGACAAAAACTATGCAATGTACTACACATACTTCTCCATTTAACATACACTGTAAATAATAAATGTGATTGGAATATGTTCCATTTGTTTTGATTTTATTTTCATAATTAGTTGTTATTTCGTCACCAGCATAGCAACCCGTTAAACCCATGTTAGTTTTAAACATTTGTAATTCTTTTTTTATGTCTTTTTAGCCTATTTTAATTTATAAAGGCATTCTGTAGATCGACAGGAAAATACATTTCCACCGATATGCGGATATTTTCTGTGTAATGTTCACGAGCTGATAAAAAGGTTGTAAAAAAACATGCTTGCCTACATTATTGATATATTTTCTCAGTTTTGTATATTTTGGTGAAAAACAGCAATCGTACCACGGACCGATTTCATCTTCGTCTCGAACTTAAAAATGATCCCGAGCTGAAAAAAGTCATTTTCGGCCCTTAAAAAGTCGAAATATACTCTTAAACTATCGTAGGATCGGTGAATACTAAACTCTATCTTGGAATTGCATACACTCGCTCCTATCCTTAAGTTTACGTTGTTGCCATACAATAAATGTATAAATAAACACAAAAATTCACAAGTTTTGTTGTAAGTACCTATATCATGTATAAATAAAAACATACAATAGCATAATGTGTAAGTGTATTCTGTAAAACTTTAAACAAATATTAGTAAAATAGTTTTCAGGTAAACTATTGTTGAATGAATTAGTTTTAAGTTGTTAAATTTACCTCGAACCGAGCTATATTTTTAATGGAGTTTGTCCGGAAAAATACCATGGTAAAATTAAATCAAATAAATAAAATCAAAAGCAATTCATAACAAAAGAATAATAGATACAGAATGAACGTAATTTCTGAAAATCGACAGAGCCTACATATGCGAAGCCTTTGCGTGGGGACCAAGTTGACTCAATAATTGGCAATTTGTCATAGTCTTGTAACATAATTAACTACCACTACTATAATTATCAATACATTTTCAAAGGAGAAACAAACGTCCGATTATTTCTAGGCAGCCACAACAGATAACTTTAGAAAACTACGTTATAAGAATTAGAACAACTCAAAAATTAAATTGTTAACATGATTTGTTTAGCCTAACGAAGAAAATCATGAAAACCAAATTTAACTCCCATAAGAAAAACATGGGGAGCAATTTCGTTTACGTATAAGCCGAGTGAGATAATAGAAAAATATACGCCGATGCTTGATGGCAAATCTGTGCGTGCATACCTTTAATTTGAGACCTCAATAATAAAAATGGTCGGGTAGCAGAGCCAAACGAATAACCCATTTTCTTAAATTTATAAGATTATTTAATTATTTATTTATTTTAATTATTTATTTATTTTACTTGACTGTTAATACCAAAGCAAAAGCTTCAACTTCGTATGCGTCCGGATTACGAATAAACCTAAAACAATCTTACACCAATTTACCAATAAGTTTAATAAACCAAAATTGCACATACTCCGGACAGATTTCTTATAAAGAGATGCTATGACAATATGATCAAATCTCTATTTAATATAGTTTAGGTTGTGTATTGATTAGTCAGGACATTGATTGAATAAATAAATATTTAAACAGTATATATATATATATACTAAAACATAAATACAGCACAAAACAAACATATAAAACATAAATGTAAAACATAAAACATAAATGTACAGTACATAAATAGCCTAATTGTTACAATAAATTAACAATGATCATTTGTTAAATTAATCAGTTCAATGTTATTTATATAATTCGACCATAAAGAAGGCGAATGTCTCTCGTGTTTATTAGGACAATAACACAATATACCTTATTGTTGATTCAGGAACACGCCATTACAGCTATTTCTGAGAAAGGTGAACGAAATACCTGTTGTAAAATGCAGCTAAAGACATCTGCTACAACGTATTTGACTTATTGTTTAATATAAGCAAAACCATATAGATTCAGTACTTGGAAAGGCAAAGGAAATATTTTGTAAACAGCGTACAGAATGTCCCGTTAATCCCCACACGTTACTCAGAATGGACTTCATTTGCAAATTCTTAGAGTTTCCTTTCACAACAATCCATTCCAGTTATTGGGGTGTTGGGTCAGACCTCTATCGCGTAGTTGCGAGAAAGTGATTGGCCTCCAATCAACCTAAATATTGTTTTGATTTTACGTAGTACTGTGGTAGTTGCTAAAAAAAAAACTCTTTCACTCACAGTATTAAACATTTTCAAAAAAAATGTTGATTATATCAAACTGTTATGAACAGTGTGATTTTTTTTATTAATAACATAAGCTTTTAGTTGAGTATTTTAAACTCCTTGAATGACAAAAGTTTTAATGTAAAACAGATCTATAATCTGATGTACGCTGGCCAACAAAGACGTTATTTATTTATTAGTTTTGAAATAATTCCTGGTAATACACATAGCTTAAAAATTAGTCGATTTCGAGAAACAGGTACACTACATTATAGTGCAAACAAAACGTAAATAACACTTAGATTTTCAATCCATTACTGATTTTATACTGATTTTAAGTCTAAATCTACACAGGCAACGTAACTTATGAAATACTCTTAGTTTATGAAGGCTTGGTATAAAAAGTCTTGTAAAGTGCCATTCTTGTGTGTTCTCTGGTTAGGAAACTAGCCTTAATATTTAGTTGTTTATGATATAAGCGGTCTGATTCATACCTACAGTGTATTCAGGTTTTGGACTGGCTAGGCCTATATACAAATATGCATGAGTGTTCGATGTCATCACGAGCGTTGGAATGTTTACCTAAAAAAAATGTCGTAGTAGAGGGCGATAGTGTAAATCATAGCTGTTCCCTGGTCCATCGGCCGGTGCCTCGAGGGATAATGACCGACGGACTAGGGATAGAGCTGATGACTCATCCGGTCATGTGAACATCGGTATATTAACTAATACTATTTAATAGTAACTAGGTGAAACTTGTCGAAATCGACGGTTACTTTCAAGGATTACGTTAATTCACCTAACTGCGTTAAATTGGATAAAATATAGGCTACATATTTTGAGCATTTAGCATTGTTTAAAGAATAATAAGTGTAAAAACAATATTGATATTAATTGCGTTAGTCGCCAAATTCGGTTGATAATTCAATGAATAAAATATTCCCCTTACCGTACGTCATCGGAGTTATTATTAGTATGTCATCTGGTATCTCTTCCTTTTGAAGAACCTTTAAATAGTATTAAAATCGTATTGGTGGATCTTTTGTAGTTAAACACTTCCGTGATTTCATCAGTGTAATATGATTTTATTTGAAAAGAAAACTTTTTTTGGGAAGACATATTCAAAGGGAGGTATATCCGTTACAGTGTAAGTTTGATTTTTCCTTCGTCACGTCGCGTCAGTTCATATCTTACTTCTGTGCCAACGAATGCACCCTCTAGCTTACTTTTGAGAAATTTATTTTGAGGTTACTGTTGAAGCTGGAATTTCTTGACATGGGGGATGTCAGTTAGTTGTCTCAGCCTTATCAATAACATAAAGTTGTCAATATAATCTCTCTACGGAATGTTAGGTGTAGTGTAATACTTGAAGTGAAGTTGGATTTTATTCTTGAACTGTTAGGGGCCTCCTATTTCATACGGCCTTTTGACTTTATTGGCAGCAAATAATGCAAATGACATAGCAATGGGACATTTCCAAAAAAAAAAAATACTGTAAATTGGCTGTTACGTATACATTGACGTTTAAATATTGTTAATCAACGTATTTTATAAAGGATTATGTGATCTAGTTTAAATGGAATATGACCTTTCTGGCATGACAGTAGCTGCATAAATAGTATTTTCTCTCTGTACCATATCTTACAGCCAACATGTCGTGTTATTTTCAATAATGTTACCAACCCAGTGCGCCAAAGTTCGTAATATAGGCAGGTGCAAATAATTTGTCAAGATAGGTACCATTTTAGGCAATGTTTCTATGTTTGGATTTTATTGGACATGATAAGAGCAGATATTTGTACATAAATATTTGATATGTGTAGAATAATATGATAAAATGTAGGCAAAAGTGGTGAAAAAGGCAGACACCATCCAGTACAATAGATATATGATAGTTCAATAAGAAATAATTTATGAATTGCTGTGATAAAAGGATTTTGCACTGATTTCGTAATGGAATGTTACATTGCAAAACATGGCTGAAAAATAAGAAAAACAATTTTAAAATAAGAAAATAACATTAACTCCGTTGTTTGAAATACAATTTAAAAATAAACAGCTGTTTCATTAAAAAGTATGATTCATATGGCCAAAATGTAAACAACTCTGTGGAGGGATCTTTAAAGGCTTCTAGGGCAGAGTCCTAAGGGATTTTGCTTAGTTTTTCTTTTGATAACTCATCTACAGACCAATACATACCTTTCTTTGGACACCTCTACCAAGTGGTGTCGCGAAGTTTGCGTACAGTGAAATTTGCGTACAGCTGGAGTTTAGCGAAGACTGCGTACGGCTGACAACTAACTGCACTCACGGTTAAAGGAATTTACAAGGGTTGGAAGGGTAGCCCGCCTAAGCCATTTGGAACTGCACTCACGGTCAAAAATCGGTCTTTCACGGCTGAACGCTTCGCTAGCCCCTTAGTCATCTGTTTATTCCGTCCTCTGTCTTACTTTATCCAATACTTATATTTAATACACGTTTTAGTGTCTGTCCCAATAAATACAACAATAACTAACCTAACCTAACCTAACCTAACCTAACCTAACCTTTACAAAAGAAGCTTCGTTATAATAAGAATATAGCCTATCATGTTATCGTAAATACTATGCTAGAATTTTCTGTGCACATATATATGTGTATTTTTTACAATGTCAGTAGTAAGTTTATTTTTTGACGTTTAGATTAATTTAATCAAAACTTTTCAATATATTTCAACTAATTTAATAAGTTTTAATCAATTCAATCATGGTGTTGCACAATGTGATATAGGCTAATTAAAAACTGACCGTGAGTGCAGTTCCAGTACCTCCAGAAAGGCTCAAAGTGATCGTGAGTGCAGTTCCGTAGTTGGATTAGGACCAGGGACTGACCGTGAGTGCAGTTCCAGCCCTCCCTGTAAGGCCCCTATTAGCCGTGAGCAACATGTGGCGCAGCTAGTGGAGCCGCCGGTGGAGCCGCCGGTCTCCCTGCGGCTAATAGGCACCATTTGACTCCATGCCCCTCTACACGTCCGACACCGGCGGCTCCACTAGCTGCGCCACATGTTGCTCACGGCTAATAGGGGCCTATAAGGCTCCAGTTTTACAATTGTCTTAGTTTACTGAAAGGTAGATGGAAAAGAAACATATGCCATACACTGCATTCCCGGCGCCGGGGACGTTTCGTGGAAATACATCTCACCCCCATCCCTCCCGTAGGTATAAGTAAATGCCAGATATGCAAGATGTCAGTTCGTCTTGAGCAGTGGTCATAGAAGTTGGTGAATTATCGTGCTGAGCTATGTCTGCTGTGTCTTTTAAATCGAAATTTGGTGGGGTTTGGTGGTCAGATGATAAAAGTTTTGTGTATAAACCTAAGAAGTAGAGTTTAAGTGGAAAAAACAATGATAGCAGATCTTGACAAGAAATAAGGAAAACCAAAGTGTAATATGGAAAAGGACTGACCAAGTGACACAAGTACGTTGTTGTCAAGAACAGGGGTTTCTCAATGAGCTGCAGACAAGCCAAATTTTCCTGGCTTTTGTAGCAAGTTGTTTATAATAAATTGTTGTAAGATTGTATGATTTTTAAAGAAATAAAATTAATCTCTTAAACCGGTGACAAGTTGAGGGGGAGATACAACTAGCCGCAGGTACAACTAGACGTAGGTACGAGTAGGCGTAGGTACAACTAGTCGTAGGTACAAGTAGTCGTAGGTACAAGTAGTCGTAGGTACAAGTAGTCGTAGGTACAAGTAGTCGTAGGTACAAGTAGACGCAGACGTATGAGGTACAAGTAGACGGTGACGTTCCCGACTAGTTGTACCTGTAGATTTTTAAGAGGTACAACTAGACGTAGAGACAACTAGACGTAGAGACAACTAGACGTCCGCACCATCGTCAAGTTGTCTCTACAGCTTTGGACGGGGTACAACTAGACGCCTGTCACCAAAATGCAGCAGGTACAACTAGACGCCGGTACAAGTAGACATCGCCCCTCCGGGGTTTGTTCATGTAGACCCATGCTTCAGGAGCTGAAGGCTGCAATTCACAACGAAATCACATAAATTCCTGGTAATGTGCTTGAGCGAGCAATGCGGAACCTCAAGGACCGACTCCAAGAACGCGTCGCTCTAGAAGGAAGGCATTTGATGCATGTAATTTTTAAAAACCAACTTAACTAATTTTTTGTAAATAAACTTCCATTGTAACTACACGTTTTGCACTTTATTTCACTCCAATACCTTTAATGTTGACAGTTTAACCAGTATTTTAAAACCACCCGATCCATCTGCGCCACCCTGTATATTTAAAGTAAAAGCACTAGCATTAAATCTGTGGTAAATATCATTAATGCAACATGTTAAAGGTAATTTAAAATGTTTATTTATTCCTGATTTATAACTTTCAATTAGGTACTCTGGCATTGCAAAATTCCACTTAACATTGGAACACAAAAATGTCAAATTCTTATGAAACATGCAAGCAAAATACTTGATCAGTTGAAGTAAAGAATTTAGCCATCCAGCAAACTTCCACCTGAGGCATTTACCTTTTATTGTCCCTTACACCAAGGTCTGACAAAGACAGGCAAGCTGCACAACCGAAACAGAGATTGAACCATTAATCTAAGGGGCTCTCTCCAAAGCCAGGGTAACAATGCTGTAGATCACTTAGGCATTAATCAGGTCTTGCCTATTGCCCATTTAAATATAAAATAATTGATTCTATTGAATATTTTGATTATTTATTTAGTGAAGTCTTTATTTTAATTTGTGTGATACTGATGTACGGTAGCTAAGTTATTCCCAGCTGTACCAATAACATCATGACACAGGTGCTCACGGAAGATTATACGATGTTAGTGGTTACGGGACATATCTCGGCCCAACCCTGCAAGAAGCCCAAAGAACACTGGCTGAACTACGGGAGAACCTTTGGCAAGACTGGTATACGAGGGCATGTTTTCTGTCTACCACTGTGTACAACGTTAATGAACAGACGTTCACACAGATCACAACCCTCTTTGAGTACTACGTGGACGGCTCCATGTATGCCACCATTACGGTAAATATTTCTCAACTTACACTTTATACTATACCTGACATCAAAGTATAAATACCTGGGTAGCTGAGTGGTCATGTTGTTGAAGGGACTTAGACTGTCATTTTATATCGAGAGTAAAACACACAGCTATAAAAACATTTTGGAATATGGAATCCTCAGGTGAAAAAATTCATAAAATTTTAGAAAATTAACGGGAACTGTAACAAAACAAGAGAGGCGTATGTTTTTAGGTGGTTAAAGTTACTTTCTCATATGATAGGATCAGAGATTCCAGATTCCAAAACAATAAAACTTCAGTTTTTTACTTTGACTCTTACTCATCATACAAGAAAATATCCACAAATAGCCCTAGATTCAAATAAACCTTCACATTGCCTAAAATTAACTTCTAATGAAGAATTGAGGGGTGTATTCAAGGGGGGGGGGGCTGCCCCCCTTGGCAAGATGAAGTGTAAATATTTATACAGTAATCTTCCACTAAAATAAACTAGAGCATAAATTTTTTTTCATTTTGATTTTATAAATACAATAAAACATAATGATTCTATCATTTTATAAATTCAAATCAAACATTCCAGATATATAACGTCACAACGCCCTACACTTCCCTCGTCAATTGTCTATCTTGTTTACATTAGGTAGCCCAAGCACAAGGTTTGTATCGCAAACTGTCCAAAGACAGTAAAAATATCTCTAGGAGCGCTCTATTTCCAGCCAATTGATTTAATTGATAACATTTTTAGGACTATTGACCATAACCCAAAAATTCGATTGTGTGTTTTTATTTCAAAATTCGCTCATCTCACATTAACTTAAATTATTTTTATAGTTTTGGAGCATCGATTGATACTTTTTTACTCCTAATTATTCAACATTTTCCAGAACTCCCGGAAGTTACCCATCCCAAAGTGATTCTCCCCCCCCCCCCCCAATCTGTACCTACCTGATAATGTTAGCTTGATGATCAGAAGATTAGCCCTGGTCTGATCCTGATTCAAGTCACCAGCTGTTTGATGATTCATAACTGTACCCAGTGACATTATAAACGTGAAAGTTTGTGTGTTTGTTTGTTTATTTGTTTGTTTGTTTGTTTGTTTGTTTGAAGTTCAATCACGCATTAACTACTGGACGGATTGGGCTGAAATTTGGCATGATTATAGCTAGAATCCCCGATTAACATATAGGCATATTCTTATCCCAAAAATCCTTTCTGGCTACGCCCCAGTGGCTCTGTGGTTCCCCATGTTAACCTTATGAGTATTCATATTTAAAGGGAATAAAAGAATTTATTGTCGGGGCCACATAAGTTTGCAGTTGAGGGAGGAGCCTATTTACCATATGGTTTTGAATGAACCAATAAGAACCGTGCCGTGTTGCCAAATCTAATAATACCAGCTGATTTGAAAATATTGCTTTGTATATTTAATAAGTGTTGTCAATGGGCGATGTGGCAACGTCGCACTAGACTTGTCTTGTGATTGGCTGCTACCAACTGCAAACTTACGTGGTCCCGACAATAGTCAGCTGTTTCAACTTAAAAAGTTAATTCTATGGTATGCAAAAGCATTAAAAGTTATAAGATTTACCAACAGGGTGCAGCATTATTACTTTTGTTGCATTTATGGAAACAGTTAATTTGAACTAAGCAACAACAAAAAACTATGATATGCAATGAGAACTGTCATAGTAGGATTGTTTACAATTAATTACTTTTATGTTTTTAATTTCATTAATCTTGTGTGATATTTTGCGAATCTTTAACAATTTATTTTTCTCTATTGTTTAGGTGAAGTGGTAGAATATTATGGCTATGATAGATGCGTAATACTATAGTATATCGTAAATTTAAAGAAGCAAATTTGATCAAATTGTGTCCTCCCCCATTGCAAACGCAATGCTTGAGTATAACTGCAATAAGCCTTTTATACTTATATGCCAATCCCGTACGAAGGACGGGTACTCTGCTAGTGTTTATATGAGCATATAATTTTTTTACTGATAACAAATGAATAAATGATAGCTTTAGGAAAAAATTACTTCGACCTCTTTGGAATACAGACAAGATTACATTAAGCTAGATTCTTAGATACCTACCTTTGATTTACACAGTGTGAACTATCAAAAATGCATCTCTAATTTAACGTGGTTTGTTGCAGACAATCCCCGTTTCCAGAATCATACTGATCGGTGTGTGGGAATTTTTATTCTTATTCGCCGCAGTTTACTATGTGTTCCGCAGTGGCTACCTGATAAACCGTTTGGGACTCATAGACTACCTGAAAAACTTAAACAACATCACTCGAGTGATCAACGTGTTCCTCGCATTTCTGGCTGTTATAACTTGGTGTGTCCATCACACCACATCCATTAAATACTCTGAGAAATTCATGAAAAGTGAAGAAAACGATTACTTTGACTTTGACAGATTTATAGGGACTTTCAGTTTTCTGCAGATAATACTTTCTTTACTCCTGTGTTTCGCAATCAGTCGCGCCTTCATGTGTATGCGGGGAGGAAGAAGGTTTTTGAATGCTTACTACGCTTTCATTATATCTCTTACAGTATTGTTTTGGCTGGCCCTACACCTCCTATTATTGCTTTTCATTTTCAAGAGACTACAATATTTCCTGGATTGCCAAAACTATTTTAGGACAAAAGAACTGAGTTTAACAACTAAAATGACATTGTTTTTAAACCCTAGTCTTTTGGAAAATCTAAATGTACGAATTTTTGTTTTGTTAAGAGTAGTAGGAATGTTCTTTGTTCGCACGCTATTTATAGTTTTGTATCTGTATTTTAGTAGGATTGCTAAAGCCTATAATCCTAAAGACTCCGACAGCTTCAATTTTGTTCTGTTTGTCATAGAGAGGTCAAAAAGATGTTTAAGCCGTGATAGAAATAGGTATTATTAAATTAACTCAATTCTATATGAGTAAGCTAACTGAAATATATTTTGTCATATATTATGTATAATGTTTTTCAGTAATGAATGTATGGTAAATATAAATAATTGTATTAAAAATGTTTTTTTATGGATCGATTGATGGACAAAAGATTATTCTTTTATATTAGCTTTCCATGTAAAATAAATAGGCGGAAAAACATATTATTTATCTAGCTGATTTTCCCTTCCTGCAATGGGTAGTTTTTTAGTATGAGTGTTAGTGCTTCAATGATTAATAAATAATTTGTTTAATAGAGAAGTAAGGTGCAGAGGAAAACTTGCTTATGGGATGACCAAACGCTTTTAGCTCTAGAATGTAGGTACACACCAGGGGAAAAATATACTTGTGACGAGTGAGGAAGAGCCTTAGCGGCGAGCCCTCTGCGGACACAGGGTCTTTCTCCAAGTTGTAGTACATGAGGGTTAGGAGAAGTAACGTGTTGGATTTTACCCTAGACACCAACGACTTAAGTGCACCATTAATGTTTCCTCCGGGCACCTAAATATTGCGTTCAGCTGTCACTCTGCTCATCATACCTTATATAATCCCTTCAACCTCCAAACCCAGTTATGACGCTAGGAGAGATTCATCTGTTTATGTTCAATCATCACAAAATAATTTTTAATTTTTAATCATTAATCTTGCAAGCTAATCTATATATTATTAAAAGAATTTGTTGGATTTTTTGTGCAGCAAATCGACCCCTAAATATTTATTTTTATTTAGGCATATTGGGTATCAATTTAAAGCTCTTATCCTCTATATGTGCCTTTTGTAGGTTTGGATGATAATCTCGTTTTTCTTAATTTTACTTGTTTATGTTGTAGACCAACACGGAATGGAAATATGTTCAGTTCTTCTAATGGAAATTTAGATCAAAATATAATGTAAAAAACAGATTTCAGTTTAGGATAACAGCTATCTCAAAGTACAACAATCACTGACTTAAAATGTAATAATTAAGAAAATTCTCACTGTAACTTTTCATTATTGCCATATTTTGCTTTACATAAATTAAAAAGAATTGCATCCGGATATTCAGTAGCCTATGTTTATCCTTTTGGCGTACATCCCAAACAGACTAAGATAGTTACATGTTGGGGCAGAGCAACTATAATTGAACATATTTTAATGTATGGTGATTTAATTTTTTCTTCTTCTATGTACATTATAGTGTTGATAAGACTTGTTATATGGCATAATATAGTTATTACACCCAAGATTAAGCACAAAGATGGCCCACATGACCAGGAATGTCTTTGGGCCTATATTCACTTCCCTGAGTTCTTCTCGGGCTACGCCCTTTGGATGTCGAAAGTTTTGAGGTGAGGCGGTTTACAAAAGTAAATATTAAATTGGTATATCCATGGAAGCATGGGAAAATTCACAATGTTTACCTTTGCATTGACATTTCAATATAAACAATCAGAACTGTCAACTGCTTATTTCACAATTTCAGACAGCTGATCCAAACAAATTAAATAGGTACAGGGTGAGGCAGTGAGAGCACCCCAATCTTCTTTTGTTGCCACACTATAATCATTAAGTAAAACAACAATGAATGAACAGCTGTGCTTATAACACCAATAAAACTATGCCATTTTAGTAAATATTATGCCTGAGGCTATTAACACTGAGATTTTGATGTGAAAACCTATTTTTAAAATAGAGATTCTTGTGCAAAAACCCAGAGATTTTTTGGACCACATCCTTGGTCAACATGGCGCTGTTCCAGATTGGAAAACAATGGTGAACTGGCTAAAATTATTTAGGACAAAACTCTTAAATCTTAAAAATAATTGGTGGGTACCGCAAAACTCTTTGTACACCAGCAAATGTTGAAAGAGTGCGAGTCGCAGAAACTCAAAGTCCAAAGAGATTTGCCAGGAAGCTTTTGTTGTTGAAAGCTTTATGTTGGCTCCTTTTTTTTTTTGGGGGGGGGGGTTATTCTAATAAGCTATTTGAAGTTTTCGAGGCTTTTCAAACTCACCCCACAGGCTTGCTTGAACCGAAGCTAAGAATTGTCCAAAAACTAAAGTTATTCCTGAAGAAATGCTGGAGGAGTATTTGATGGAATTTTCAAGTAGTGACTAAAAAGGAATATCAAGTAGGACAAGGACATCAATTGCAGGATTTAGTTTTCAATAAATTAACAAATGACTTTTTTAAGTTAAAATGGCAAAAGATAAGCTGTGTTTTGATGTGCTATTTATATCCATAGGGTGAATATTATTGAGTTTGTACTACTTATAAATTGGGGTGCTTTCATCGCCCCACCCTGTATAATATTTTACACAACTCTTAAGTGGTATGGTTTTATCGTAAAACTTTGTCATTGATTATTTATTCTAAAACTATGTCGTTGATTATGAAAATTAAAAATGTATAACCCTTGCTGTATCAACCTGAAGTTCTGTGTAAAGTCAAAGTTATTAACTACTAACTAGGCTATCAAGATGTGTTATGACTAGCTGAATACCCGTCCTTCGTACGGGGTTGGTATATAATTATAAAATGCTTATTGCAGTTATACTAATGCTTTGTGTTTGCAATGGAAGAGGACGCGGTTTGAGAAAATTTGGTTCTTTTAATTTACGGAAGCTATTGTTTAGCACATACGATAGCCATAATGTTCTACCACTACATCTAAACAATAAAAAAGTAAATTATCGAATATTTGCACAATATCAAAACATCATTTATAAATTAAAAACATAAGCTTAACTGTAAACAATCCTACTTTAACAGTTCTCATTGTGCATCATAGCTTCAAATTAGCTAGCCTATGTTGTCATAAATGAAAAAAAAAATTATAAGTGCAAACCCTGTTGGTGAACCTTATAACTTTTAATAATATTGAATATCATAGAACAACTTGAGTAATTGAAACAGCTGACAAAAATCCCTTTAAAATATGAATACTCATAAGGTTAACATGGGAAACTCCAGAGCCACTGGGGCGGAGCCCGGAAGGATTTTTGAGATACGAATACGTCTATATGTTAATCGGGAATGTGAGCCATCATCATACCAAATTTCAGCCTAATCTGACCAGTAGTTAAAGCGTGATTGAACTTCAAACAAACAAACAAACAAATAAACAAACAAACACACAAACTGTTGTGAGAACAGTTTATTTCATAACACCTGTTAATTTCTATTAATTATTATCATATGTTTATTTGTTATTCTATGTTTGTAAAAAGGTAAATAAAGTTAGTTGAGTTTGAGTTATGACATAAAACAGTGTATTCACTTAATTCTTAGTAAAATAGTACATGGTGGCAGCGGTTTAGAGCTATGCCTCAGAAGAAAAATCCAAGAAGGAAACAATCTGACTATGAAGATAATGAAAATGAAAGAAGCAGAGAAAATGAATACAACAATTCAACTAAGAAGTCAATCATTGTATCAAACACTCATTCAGTTATTCAACCTCCAGCTAGTTTCTCCTTTGTACCAGCAGATTGGCCAAGATGGAAAACACGATTTCAAAGATATCGGTCAGCAAATTTGTCAGCGAATACACATCAAACAGAACCATACAACCGTCCAAAGAGAAATATACACAAACCAAGCTGGTTGAAGAACTTTCAAACTTAAAAGGGAGGATGTTGTGAGAACAGTTTATTTCATAACACCTGTTAATTTCTATTAATTATTATCATATGTTTATTTGTTATTCTATGTTTGTAAAAAGGTAAATAAAGTTAGTTGAGTTTGAGTTATGACATAAAACAGTGTATTCACTTAATTCTTAGTAAAATAGTACACAAACTTTCACATTTATAATATTAGTAAGATATAAAGGGACACCCATTCTTCAAACTGAATTTTCTTTTCACGGATACAGCAACTATAGTTATTTACTAAAGGCCTTTTCAAACAATACACAATTTTATGTTACTGTCCCTCTGCACTTTCTTCTACCTCATTAAAGAGAGAACAAAACTAAATATTGTATTTACACTATGCATGGCACGAGTTAAAATAATTAAAACACACCTCCTTTGTATATCACAAAATTAATTATGTAACAACGAGTTACTAAATAAAGCTTTTCTAGTGTGAGGTTTCTTCCTTCTATTCTAGGGACGGGACTGGTCTAGCATTGGAGCAAGTTCTTCCGTCATAGAGCTTCAAGTTAAAGTGTCGCCAAATACCAATACTTCTTTTATATGATCCTGAGGTTCAGGGCACACCCTAACCTATTAATCCCTAAAGTATATATCTAAAATCAACTCGTTGGAAAACATCCTTCCCTCCACTAAATGTCAAACGATAATTAAATGAAACTCTCTAAATTTAAAAGACAAATAAATTGCAGGACACTAGATGTAAACCAGTTAGGGAGCTGATAAGGAGGGGAAGGCCATCTGTTATCAGTAGTGAAAGTGCCTGCGTGCTGCTGCGCTGCAGCTGGACCGGCGCGGTGCACTACGCCTGCGCAGTGTTCAGTAGTGTAGTGTGCGCGGTAGTGAATGTTAGAGATGCGCTCCACGGTGTGTATTATAGCCGCTGTGTTAGTGGCCGCTGCCTCCGCTGTACCTAGCGATGCTCATAAGGTTTGGCACATTTTTTTAATTTCTTTTCTCTATACGTTGTTGTCTATAAACAAACAGTAGAAGGCTGTGTTATAAACGGTATTAAGTTTTTCACTACTTTGAATTATGACGTCGTAGGCAATTAAAATGTAAACATTTTAATGAACAATAATGGATACACGTATATTATAAAATAGGCGCAAAAGCCATACAAGTTTTAAAGGTTTGTCTGCACCAACATTTTATGATAAATATTTTTAGTTAGGCCTAATTAATATAGCAATCATCACAGTTCTTTGAGTGTCCCAACGTTTCATTGAGAATTAACATGATAAATTAAATTACAAAATCACTGATTGTTTTGTAAAGCCTTTATACTTCTTAAAGGTTAATCCAATACCTTGTCAAAATATGTCTTATTCATTATGTTAATTCGTATCAATTTGTTTAATGATTCGAGTAAAGACTAAAAATAATAAATAGCCAAGTCACAAAGCTGTAGAGAAAAGGAAATGCTAGTCACTCTATTGAGGGGTTTATTCAAACAATATCACAATATAACGAAATTTAAAATTGCTATATAGTGAGGCGATACTCAAGCCTGCTAAAACACATTATATAGTTGTCACACATACATTTGCATTTATTCACTGAGAATAAATGTGAAAACCACTTTACACTTCAGCTATGTCCCCGAAATAAACTAAATGAAACAACGTTAATTTGTTTTAAATTCCAAGCCTAGGTGGAATAAAAGAAGTGGTAGTGTTTTTTTTCTAGAACTGACCTTAAAACAATCCATGGTAATTTAAATATTTATCTTGTAATTTAATTTTAGTGATCACAATTTCGTAAGAATTATGCATTGACCTAATCGGTTCTAAAAATATTATAATAGGTAATAAATAATTATATACTTTACTATCTCTTAACATTGCATTATTGATATCTATGGTCTATTACACCACATCCCTAAATGAGACTTGCGAAGAAGATATACATACCGAAGTATAAATAATTTTGTAATAGGCTACTATTCTTTACTCCGTTCTATATTCCGTTTTTTTAATAAATTTAAATAATAGTGTCATAGATTATTTCAATTATGATGATGAATTTGCCTCAAAAACGGAATGGTTCTTAAAGGATCTCGCCGACGTCAGTAGTGTAGGTACTTCCGTAGATTCCGTGACTGTAATAACCCTACTTAACTGCAGCAGTTAGCAGCACGTCGTTTCTCGTCTCCTCTACAGGTTGTTTACAGCTGATTTCCCCACTAATGTTTACATACACTTTACACGCAAACAGTGCAAAAGGGGAAGTAGAATCGAATAATCTATCGAATAGAATGAATTATACTGGTAGGGACACATCGATATTATGTTGATACATATATATACAACCAGGAACTAATAAAATACAGTGCTACTATTAATTTACAACGTGCAATCTCTCTTTTGGGATTATATATCAAAATGTGCATGAAATAACTATTAAAATAATATACATCGACGTTGAAAATAAAACAGAAATAAGGGGAAATCCTTTGGGGTTCTTGTTAAATTTCTGATGCGGATTAAATTGTCGCCCAGGCAATTAGACCTACCTAAGTTTCTAACTTAATCCATATACTAAAGAGTAAACAGTGTAACTCACAAGGCATTTTTGAGTATGTCTAAAGTCTTTCGTAGTTCATTTTGGTTTTACCAATACTCTTATCAAAGGCACGTCTTTCTTGGCTTGTATTTTAACGAACTCTACAAACTTTCATTTTACAATTTAACTATTAAAGGAATAATTGCTTAGATATTCTAAATTATCATTAATAAAATTGTATGGTCTGCTAGTTGTAGTTTACCTTGGTTGTCATAGGCATGCACTGACGCACTTCTACGAGTAATGTGTTGTCAACATTATTTGGAACGTCAAGACCTTGAGTATTCAGCTGCTACCGCTGTATGGAAATACAATGTTTGTAAACTACACAACTCGGTATAATTTACAATTACCCCTTTTCAATCGACACTTTAGAGTAAAATTTTGTGATATTGTTACCCCACTTCACGAAATTCATGCAGGAGTTCTCCAAGGAAGTGTATTGGGCCCCGTTCTCTACACATTGTTCACGGCGGACCTCCCTGAAAATCCTAATGTCGAAATTGCAACATTCGCTGATGATACTGCTATTATAGCCTCTCATGAAAACCCTGTTATAGCTTCACAAATTTTGCAGACTGGACTCGATGATATCTCCGATTGGCTAAAAAAATGGGGGATCAAAGTAAATGAGAGTAAATCGGTCCATACAACCTTTACAACAAGATTAGACACGTGTCCTCCAGTTACCCTAAACAATGTTCAAATCCCACAGTGCAATGAGGTTAAATACTTGGGCTTGACCCTTGATAGAAGACTCACTTGGAAAAGCCACATCTGGAACAAGAGAATTTCGTTAAATTTTAAATTTAAAAATCTTTCTTGGCTATTAAATCAAAATTCTAAATTAACAACAGAAAATAAATTGCTTTTATATAAAACCAGTGTGGACGTACGGTATCCAACTGTGGGGGACATCCAGTGAATCCAATTTGAACATCATCCAAAGATTCCAATCTAAAGTTCTAAGACACATTCTCCAGGCTCCATGGTTCGTCAATAACGAAGTAATTCACAGGGACAGTCGAACCCCAACAGTCAAAGAAGAAATTTCAAAATTAAGTGCCAAATACTTAAAGAAATTAGAGTACCATCCTAACTACCTTGCTATAAATTTATTGGACAACAGCAACTATACATACAGATTAAAAAGATGCCATGTTTTGGACTTAAGTAGTCGTTTTTAGACTTCAAACTTTGTACCAAATATGCAAAGTTTGTGTGTTAGCTCTATTGTTGGATAAAAACTAACTACTGTGTTTAAATTTTATCAAATTTTCTTATTGTTCTATTTTTTGTTGAACAGATTGTAAATTAAATAAAATGTTACAAAAAAAATTACAACTACCCCGATAACATTGTTGGTTTTTTGCGTCTTGGATTCAGGTTATAACCTCAAAACTGATCATACTAGTTGGTTTAACATTTTGTTTCAATTTCAAAATGCATTTTGTTGAAATGGGCCTTACAGTTTTCCCTTTAACCATGGATAGACGTTTCCAAACCACACAAAATGTAATACAATTAACCCTTTAAAGTTATGCAATGTTCACTACATTACCTGGCAAAAACACACAAGCTAGTCATACACAGTTAAATGTATACAATTAAAGGGTCAATTGTTGTATTCTCTAAAGAGAGATACAGCGATATATTCTAAAAGACCGGTATTTTCCCCAGGTTACGAGGTGTTTCTTCTTCTTCTTCCTTGATCCTCGAGGACCCTTCCCTCGTTTCACGGTCAACTTGTCAGGTCGTTTCATACTTGAACTCTCCTTTCTCTACTCTCGGAGATCTTCATCTCGCATGTCATTACAGAATACATGGATATTAATCTCCACAGAAATATGATATATCTTAATTCATTTGACTATGGATAATAGTTATTGAACTAAACTTGAAATCAACGTGTTGCAAAATTATTTGGTAATTCAATTTGTTGTATCCTCATAAAAAAACAAGATGTTCATTAAAAATTAGATTGTAATATGCGGAAATACACTTAACCAGGGGTTTCACGTAGTATTGAAGTTGTTTTGTGATCATCAGCATATCACATAATTATACCATGTGGTGGTACTAATACATATGGTAACAAACAGTGTTTTATCATCGACTAGCTGTTGTACCCGTGCTTTGCACCGGGAAGAGGACACAAAATAGAAACATTTTAATCTTTATCTCTTGCATATAATGGTTACACATCCGCCAACGCTTTTAGAATCAAAATTCAACTTTTATGGCCTTAATAGAAACGTATAAGTTATGACTTTTAAATTTGGTAAGTAGTGGATACCACCATTTTGGTTTTGATTAATTTTAAATCTTGTGTAGGCTGATATGAGAAAAACTGACCAAATCTCCGAGTTAAACTTTGACATACATGATTTACCTTCATCTCCCTTAATTACACATCTTTTAATTTATTATTGACATTTTAAATTTCAATTTTGAAGTTGCAAAAATACTAATTATTAAATTTAGATATCTTTATATTAAACTCTTCTTTATATTAAATCACAAACCCTTTCATCTTCAGTTTTTTCACTCACAATAAATAATTAGCAAAACTAAGTCAGCTGTTATAAACTTTAGAAATATTGCTGTGCCTTATCAATACAGTCTTTTGAAATATTAAAGAAACTATATCTATAGGTACTATAAAAAATTTCAAACAAATAATTTAGCATTAAAGACAGCAGACATAACTAATATGATTGTCAAAGCATCAAGGACTAAAAAATGTAATAGCAAATACAGTATATGTTTCATTGCATCTCTGATTCTACTACCTATACAAAAATATCAACAAACAACTTAATATACAAACCAGTTCATTTAAATCAGTTCCATCGTCCATTGCATTTACATTTTCACACTTACCATTAAGAAAACATAGTAACAGATTTCATTGATTTTAGAAACAAAATAACACTGTGTACTGCTTAGTTTTATGATATTTTCCTTGGTTTAATTTACTCAGTGGTGTGGCAAAACACAAATAATAAATGCATCAAATAAAGTAAATGTGAACTGAAAGCTATGTATAAAATAAGAGTATTTTGTATTACCATTTGATAATTAAATATAGTTACACATATACAACAGATAAAAAAAAATCAACGACAATTTAGTTATTGATGATATTCTTTAGTTAAATTTAAGCATAGGTTTAGCAAAACACAATAACTTAATTTACCTAAATATACATATAAAAAACAATGTGATGTGCAAGTTATGTTAAGTTAATCTAACACATGTGAAGCAGTTAGAATTTATTTAAAGTAGCCTCCAAATTCATACAAAACATCTATACATTGTAATTTTCATACTGTTTCCATGAAAACATATCAATAACATTATTT